TACTTTCTCCACACTTTTCAGATTTCCTGGTTGCATGCATCAGACCACAATGTATTATATATTTAATATTCTGTGGAAGGATACATAATTGCTTATATTGTATTCCATAAACATCATGTTTGAACATTTTATCCTCATAATTATTTTCAAAAATTTGGTTGAAATTTTAGATTCTGAGTCACTAAAACCAGCGTCTAGTGAAGTTCAGGAGCTTTTTACTTTGCTGTTTTAGCAGAAACTTTTATGCATTACTTATGTGTTCACCGATTACTTCAACATGATGGCATTAATGTTTTCATCAGCTTTCGCAGGCTGTTTGTCTAGTTTCCCAGCTCTGGAGCCCCGAGTGAAAGCTCTCCGTTCTCAGACAGCTGTTCATTGGTTATTGATTTTTGTCAATGAGGCAGTTGTGAAAATAAATCCATTGTGCTGTGATGCAGAGTAAGGACTTCAGCAGAATTATGTAACCAAGTTAAACATTTTATCCATCATTAAAGCAGGAAATTCTGTGATTTTAGAAGATCATTCTCAAGCAGCATCTAACTTAAAAAAAAAACCGTTTCCTGCAATCATTGACTGCATAAAACATCCCCTCAGCACCAAACAGGCAATACGGAGGTTTATTCCCAGTTCAATTAGTTAAAATGCAAACCCAAACTGTGACTCATTGGCCACAAATAGCTCACTAATTCTCCAAATGGAGCGAACACTAAAACACACAAGTACAGATCTGATTAACATGACCAAAACCGGTTTAAATAAACCAAGCTCTTAATACTTGTAATGTATAAAAGTTATACATTTCCCCTTTTTATTATGTGTGAAATCCAGAGTAAGTCCTCTTCACCATTTAAAACAAACTTTCGGAAGAAAATAATTTAACAAAATGACCAAAGTTGAGGACAATAATTTTATTTGATCCATATTTATGAAAACTCAAACATAAAGTTGGGCTTTGGGATTGATGAGACAGGAATATCACAGGTGAACAGGATGACAGGAAGGTCAGTGAGAAGGCTCTGAAAAAGTGACAAAAGATCAGGGTCAATTATTTCCCATTTCATTTATTAGCCAGGAATAATAAATGTGCCTATAACCAATAAGTTAATCTAGAAATAAACCAAAGTTAATACTGTAAATTACAGATATATCAATGGTGACCTATAACAACCCAATAACATGAATAAAATACTAATTTAAATACACTTTATGAAAATTATTTTAGTAGTTTTTTCACAAAATTCAGTTGCTGAAGTTAAAAACTTGCAAAATATTTATGAAAATTAGTGTGAGGTAGTCTTAAAGACAGACGAGTTTAAGGAGAAATAAAATAACATTTGACATTGTTACAACAGGCTGACATTTTTTATCATTACTGACAAATAAAATCATTTTAAAGAACCTCTACAATTTTAAACTTGATTCTGATGATGGAAAAACCAACTATTGAGGAAAATGTGGGTTAATTGCATCTAATAACATGATCACAATATTTAAGAATATCAAAATTACACGTCCAAAAATAGTAAATACACACATTTTAAACATTAAATTCTTATTCAAAACATGGCTATTTACAGAGCTGGGTAACTTAATGAGTAATAAACTGATGTTTTTCAAAGATTCCATCCAGCACAATATATTGGAAATGTATTGTTAAGGAAATATTACTGTAACTGATGCCAGATAATTTCTACAGTTTTATGCATTTGGGTTTTCTGTGCCTGTAATACATTTGGTGACACCACCCTAATGTAGCATGAGAAAGTTTATAAGTGCTAGAGCATTCACACTATTAAAAAACTACTTATAAGTTGTTTCAGTGTCTCAATATCAGATATTAATTTGTTATTGAGATGGAAATAATAAAATTAACTTTTTTAACAATAGCTAGAAAGACTTGCTATGTTGGGTCTATATTTGCTATGAAGCCAAAACTGAATGACAGCAACAAGTTATTATTTATTTATGTCAAGCTAGTGCAACTTTCTCCAAAATTATAGTATGTTCACCAAAGCGTTGGCCTTATTATTTTTTTCAAGTCTTGTTTAGACACATAGTGGGGTAGAGAAAAGCAGAAAGCACTGGGAGGTAAACTGGAAACTTATTATGTGCATATAAAGTTTATTTTAGGGGTTTAGTGCTCTGATGAAATCTCATTTTGTAATTTAAAACAGAAAAATCTTTTTAGTTTAGAATCCATCTGCATAGAGGTGGTGAAAACCTGCTATGATCACATATGATCATATTGCTTAATATGAACTTACTGTTCGTCACTGCCGGCTCCTTCTTCTTCCCTAGAATAGAGAAAAATAAAACACATGTTATTCACACTTATATACACATCTAAAATATTATCCACAGACTGTGAAACATTTAATTTACATATCTGAAAAGCACTATGATAAATTGATTTAGACTGTTCACATTAAATAGTCTCAGTTATGTCACACATCCAAATCAACTTTATCTACTTGATACTGCATATCTCTAGTTAATAATACGTCTTATTCTTCAACTTACCCCCGTAGGAAATTTTATAATAAACGATAGCCAATAAACCAACTCCAATATATACATCTCTGTATGGCCCAGTATAGTAAGGGCCCACTTGGGTCCACCATTTTCTAATGGCACCCAGAAGCATCTGTGGAAAAAACAAACAATAGAACTCACTAAACTTCATTCAAATTAGTAATAAATCTCAACAAAAAATTTAAAATTTGGCTAGCATGCCTCCTACGTTAGGCTGAAATATTTATAAATATCATTACATTTAACATAAAGCCAGCTAATAAACTCGTAGAGCTGCTATGTCGCTTAGAAACGATTGTGGAAGATAAAGTTTGCAAGATATGTAGAAAACAGAAGATACAACTGTGTTTTGTGCTAACTGAGAAGCTACAAACATGCTACCAACTCCCATCTTCTTCTTTGTAATTTTAAAAGCACCATTAACCGTCCGAGAAAAACTTAGCGATTGATGAGCAAATATGAGACTACTTAATCTCAATTTCATTTAAAAAGATCGACTGGCTAATGAATAAACTGCTCCGCCATCAGTGGCTAACCCCAGCTTTAGCATTAAGCTAAACTGCTAGCTTCGGATAGCTGCAAATACATTGCATTCAAACATGAAAAATAGCGACTTATTCGTTTAAGATTGATAAATTAAGTCGGCATGTGTTACACGGACATCACCATAATATCTCATACAAGTAATATGGAAATAAATACTCACATTTCAGTTTGTCGCGCTGCAGTTAGAAGGTCAAACGGCCGCTTTGGCTAAACGTCAAAGTCGAGGGGGAGAGACTTCTTCTCCTTTCAAGCTGTGAAGAGCTGCAGTTCCGTTTTGGTTAGGAGCGCCCCCTAAAGGTTAAATAGATAACTATGTCGTGAACTGTTGGCTCCACCTTGTGGATGATTATTAAAACAAGGGATTTAGATTTGGTTACTTATCATTGATTTCCAAAAATATTGTGACTTTGCCAAATTTAAAAAGTATATATATTAGTAAAATGTATTAAAATTTAGTTTTCTATTAATGTAAAAGATTAAAAGAAAATAAGAGGAGGATACACAACAGCATCTGAGTGAAATACAAATTATTTTATTTTAGCAATTCGTTTGAAAAAATGAAAGTCACTGAGGCTCATTACATACAGAGTGAAATATGTCAAACATTTATTTACTTAACTTTGATTATTATGGACTACAGCTTGTGAAAATACAAAATTCAGTGTCTAAAGAAAAACAAAAAACAGAGGGACAAAATGTTTTGTTTCACTTATAACTAATACTTTCATTTTTTAAATCAATTTTAAGATATTAAGAACTTATTAAATTAAATAAAAGCTCATATATCTTGCTGAAAGTAACTTGTAAATTAGTTTTGTTTTATTTCAAGTGTACTAAGATATTTATTTAGAAACTCGACCGAAATTACTTGGTAAGATTTTGTGTTTTTGCAATATAGAATTGTCATAGCATAAAATCTCTGCATTCAAAATCCCTTTTCATGAGTCACAGGCTGCATTGTGATTTTCTGAGAACAGATGATTGTATTTCCATTAACTGTAAGTCAGAATCAATCAAATAAAGAGCAAAAAACACCTGAAATATATTCCTATGTATCAAATATGAGCTTCACTTTTTGAATTAAATCGCAGAAATAATTACGTTTTTAACTAATTAAGCCAACCTGTCCCTTTTCTTGTGTTCATTGTCGCTCCTTTTATTCAGTTTATCTTTTTCCGCCGTTGCAGAAGCAAAAGCTCCCAGTTTACAGCTGCTGCATGTCATACAGACTCTCTACCAGCTCTGGCTGCTCACCATAGCAAAGGAGTAAATAAAACTCTGGCACAGCGCTCAAGGGTAAATGTGACACTATGTAACAACACAGACATTTAAAGCAACCTTGTGTCTTTAGGTGAAAGGGATTTTAAATAGAGAAGAATATCTAATTTTTCAATTGGATTTGTTGTGAATTGGCACTAGATAAATGAACAGAACTGAACTGAGTACAATTTTTATTGGATCTAGCTTTACATTTTAAAGGAATCTGTAGCGATTTCTGATAAATGCTTCACAGGGAAACTTTACCAGTTTCCCTATTTTCAACTTGTTCCTCGTTACTGCCTGTCCATAGAAGAAATTCACATAAAATGAAGTGAGACTTGCTTTTCTTTCAGAGACTGCACTGCAAAAACAGAAGCTTTGAGGTCAAATATCTTATTATACTTGAGGGACTTACAAGTAACTTTTCAGAAAGTTTGGTCCAAGGCAATGATTCCTCAATATTGCCTTAAAAAATGTTTTGAAACAATACTTTTTGTTAATCAATATGGAATATTTTGACTTAAACAAGCTCCTCCATCTTGCTGAAAAGTTACTTATAAGTTCATTCGAGTGCAATAAGATGCTTCCATCAGAAAATACTGACACCATTTTGTGTTTTTGCAGTTTGTGGTGCTTTTTGCCCGGGTTAAGAAGTTGATCTGGAGCTGTGAAGCGATTTGGACTTGCAGCAGAAAAGGTGGGACTTTCCTCTCTGTTCTTTCTTGCAGCTCCAATGGGCAGCAGGCACATTGCTCAGCTATGAGCGCCTAAAGGCCACGCCGCGTTTGAAGGCATTCACCAACGTGTCAGCTGAGGAGAACAGCTGAGCGAACAATCTCCACTCTCAGAGGTTATAATATTGGGCCGCGCTGCAGGTATGTTGAAGAGCAGGTCGTCTATTTTTGTACGCTCTTTTTAACAGAAGCTGGATTTCAGAAACTGTTGAGCTCTTTGGTGGAGAGTTTGCATGTGTGTGCTTGTATGCGTGTGTCTGCGGTAAAACCAGGGTGTGAGCTTTAGATGCCTTCCTGACATGACCAATCAAGCAGTCGACTCCAAGTCATTCTATGGAAATGTTCAGCTTTGATTTTGCTGCTGTGATTCGTTTTGTTTCCAGAAGTTTGCTGAAGTTCAGACAGCATGGCTTCAGGATCGGAGGGAGACGATGGAGGCATTCCCCTGGACATCGACAATGTCCACATGCTCCTCCAAGGTCAGGCTATTTCTGCTCTGGTGTGGATGTGGACGTGATGTTGTGCCATGTGTTGGTTTGGTTCTGCTCCCACACTGGACAAAAATAATGAAAATGACAACAAAAGACAGAAAAAGTCTTATTGTATCTTCTGCTTTGTGCCAAGAGTTTGGTCTGGTTTTAATTTCTTTTTAGTCTTTTGCTTTCTGTTTGTCATATGATGAGATTAACATTTTGTAATTCAGGAAAATAGACTGTAACTCCAGAAGTGAAAAAACTCAACTTACATATTGCACTGCAAAAACACAAAATCTTTGACATTGTCTTTTTTGAGAATGGTACTTTTTGCAATGTGGGAACAGTGTTATTTTCCTGTTTATTTTAATTATTTAACTAATAATCTATTAAGCCGGATAGTTTTAAATGGCAAGAAGAGGAAAAAACAGCCTCATCGCTGAAATGGGCAATAAACTTAACTCGACTAAGATGATTTATAATAAAATATAAAACACATCTATGCTCTTAAACACAGTGTCTTGACAAATATTTATTATCTTCTTGCTTTTTTGTTTCGCCTCGACGCTTCAGATCATCAAATACGTTGTGAAATCATTCAGATTTCACCAGAGGAAAACCAAAAACAAAAAATATTAGTTTCTTTCTAATATAAATGACAAACAATCTCCAAACCAACCTGGCCCTGTGTGAAGATATAATTAATAAAAAAAAACTGTTCATTTATTTGATTCCGCATGTCAAGAGGAACCGGCAGAACAGATACACCCAAACCTTACACTGCAAAAACACAAAACTATTTTTATCTGGTTTCTAATGCAAATATTTTAATATGTTTTAAATAAGACAAAAATAACTTAAAAGTAACTTTTTAGCAAGAAATATAAGATTGTTTTGATGCCTTTTTCCCTTAATAAATGAAATAATGATTTGAAAACTGATTTTTATATTTACTCTACCTTTGTCTGATTCTTTGCTTTTTGTTTTAATAAAAAGCAAAAAGAGAAGAAATATTCTTCGAGACACAATTTAAGAGTAAAACAAAAACATTTTATTTTACTGTAAATGTTAAACAGAAAATCTAAAATCATGCAGCAACAATATGCTATTACTGTCTCAACAGAAGGTGCCTGTTTGAAGTGTAATGCACATTTTCTAATGTTTGAAAGTTTACCTTTAACTTTTTAGTGCGATTTATTTCTAAAGTTAACTTTTTTTTTTCTACATTTGCACCCCTAACATTACGTCTGTCAAGCAATTAAAAAACATTTAAATGTCAAAATAGATTGGAATATTTTTGAAAACGGACCCTAAAACTGAACTAAATGTAACAGGAAACTCATTTTTGTTTAGTTTTGCAGACATTCTTTAAGTCAAAGCTTAACGCATGAAACTGAAAATAAGTTTTTTGTGTGTGTGTGTAAATAAAAACCTACCAGTTAAATAAAGCATGATGGTGGAGGAGTGATGATGTGGGCTTACGCTTATAAAAACACTGTCAGACTCTCTTTCTAGAGGATTTCACAAAATAATGTTCCATGGTTTAAAACTCAGTACAAACAACTGAGTTTAGAACCATCTGATTGATAAAAATTAAAATAAATTAGATGCAAAGAGTTTAAAGTGAACGTGCCTGAGCATGTCTGCTGTTGCTCCTCTTGAAACACGTTTACCGCCTTCGTTTTTACGCAGAGAAACGTATTAAGCGAGTGCCACCTTAGCTATTGTTTGCTGTTCAAACAGGGTGGAGTCCAGTAATTAGCGGTATCTGCCGTGGCAGGCTCCAAAACAAACGGAAAACTTCAAACTCAATCGAATTCAGGCTTATTTTTATGAAAAACAAGCAAGTTTGTGGACAAAAAGCTCAAGTTTTTCTGGAGTAAAATGAAATTGGAGTGATGTAGGAGTCCTTAAATGTTTAGTTTGAGCTGCAGTGTGTTTCGCTCTGTAGTGTGTGCTTAGTGACTGCGTGTGTGAGTGTGTGTTTGTCTCCGTATCCATGTGTGTCTCTGTCTTGGAGGCGATCCCGTCCTGCAGGCAGATCCTGCTTCTTACATTTACTTTAGTCTAATGAGGAAGCCAAACGCTCTCCAGCCGCACCAGCGGGAAAGAAGAAGAAACTATTTAAACAGTTTTAATGATCATGTTTTAGTTTTTAGTCATAATTCATGGGCAAAATTAGCTAAAGATTAGAAACATGGAGTTTAGAAAGGAACATTTCTCTGATGTAGGTGAGTGATTGGTCTGCAACAGTCCAGTTTATCATTTTAAACTCTTGATTTTACTCAAGTTTGAGCATTTTTGTGTCACAAGTGTTGAAGAAATCCACAGATGTTCAATGAGGCATAATTAGGATGTTTGGTTAAGGATTTTTGTTAGTTTTGCAGAGCTGGAAATCACAGCAGATGAGCGTACTTATCACACGTTGCATCATATTAATACCTGAAATCATAAAACATGAATAATACTCTATTTACTTCTCTTTTTTTAACAGTGGAGCATGAGCAGATCCAGAAAAGGACATTTACCAACTGGATAAACGCTCAGCTTGCCAAGGTTTGTTGGAAAATCGTGACAATTTTTCTGTGTCTAGATCAGAAAAAAAACGTTTTCTAGAGAAATCTGCAGAGTTTGTGTTACATTTGAATCCCAAAATATGTCTTGTATCTGCAACCCATCGCTCTTTTCTGCCTTTGGATTTAAAAAGCAGCCTATTTGTTAATGTGGATCATGACACCCTGTGTCAGAACGAACCAGTGCATGTCTCCTTGCTGTTCCTGATCCGTTGCTAAGCTGAACAAAGCTGCGTTTGCAGCTCGGCTTGCTGACTCACCGGTCAGAGATCAGTGAAGCAACTCGTGCCGACTCCCTTCGGACGGAGTCGCCGAGCTGCTGACATGGAACGGGAGTATTAATAGAGCTTCTGTGGAGCAGAACGAGATGTAATGTGAGCCCAGACCCTTCATAACTACATGTAACCCGGACTGAGCTCATGACCTGCTTCAGTTCAGAAACTGGAAGCAGTTTCTGTCTGCAGCTCAACGCTCAGCGCTGAGATCAGACAAAACACTCAGAGAACCCGAACATATTTATGTTTTAGGGTTTTTGTTGGCCTTCATGTCGAAAGTTATGCTTTCACTTTCTCTCCTTCTGTGTGGCAATAAATCAGTTTCTGTTCCACTCTAAAAAGAAATTAGTTGAACCAACTTAACTGAACTGCTTCAATAGTTAACAAGTACTTCAATTAAGTTTAACCAAATTAACCAAACTAAATTATTTTTGTTCAGCTTAATAAACTAAGTTCGATAAACTTAATTGAATTACTTGTTTCCAGTTGAAGCAGTTCAGTTAAGTGGGTTTTGCTATATTCACAAAATAACACGGCAAAACATACATTTAAAATAATTAAAATGTTAGCTGTATTTTAAGTACAGCTAATATATTTATTTTAGTTTTTTAGTTTGGAACAACTTAACTGATTTAAGTTGTTCAAACTTTTCGACTCCAAAGTCCAAAAACCAAACCTAAAATCAAGCAAATAAAGTTAAACCACCTTCAAATGTTTTACAGTGTAAGCTAACGGTTCACTTCTTTTCTTATCTTTCAGAGATGTTCACCTTCCTACGTGTCAGACTTATTTTCGGACCTCAGAGACGGCTCACGGCTTCTGGACCTGTTGGAAGTGATGAGCGGTCAGTCGATGGTGAGGAATGACTCCATGAGTTCAGAGCTAAAACTACTAGAAAATGCGCTACAAAGTGCTGAAGCTGCTGATTTGTTTTTCCAGAAAAGACAAAGAGGTCGAGGAGTTTTCCAGCAGAGGGCCAACGTTGAGACGGCTCTGGACTTTCTCAAGAAAAAATCTGTGAGTTTGTTCAAATTTAATTTCACAAAAACATTGCAACACAACAATTCAGAGAAGTGATTGAAAAAAAAAAAATAACCGGCATGCTAAGCAGAATCGTTTTGTGTTTAGATCAAGCTGGTGAACATAAACATCCCAGACATCATAGACGGACGTCCATCCATCATCCTTGGCCTTGTATGGATCATCATCCTCCGCTGTCATGTGAGCATAACTATATTTTACTATTTTATGCCATTTATTAATTGGTTTCAAGCCTTTTTTCAAACTTTTTACATGTTTCAGATTGAGGAGTTGGCCAGTGCGTTGTCCTTTAGCTCCCGTCATTCCTCCCTGGACTCTGTGTCGAGCCTGGACTCCTGGTCCGGCAGCCCGGTCCCGGCCGGTTCGGTCCCTGCCGGGCGGATATCACCTCTGCACAGGCGCTTCCGTGTCTCTGCCAAAAAGGCCCTGCTCATGTGGGTCAGAGACCAATGCAAAAAGTAGGTTTAACACAAACACAAACTTTTATCTCGTTTTGGCTGTTAGTTTTTGTCTCTTTTGCTAGTTTATTCAGCAGGGGACTAAATAATTTGGATGATTTTATTGTGTCATCAAATACAGATTTCTAATCCTCCAGTAATCAGATTTGGTCAGTTGTAAATCTACGTGTTATACTGTGAATATAAAGATCAAGGATGCTCTTGAAGGGCCGGTTGTGGCAGAATGTATTGATAAAACCCATTAATAAACTGTTGAAATATTAATAAAAAGCTGTTTCAGCATTCAATAAGTTACAAAGTTGTTCACATTCATCAATCCCTCCAGGATTTTGTTATTGTTTTTGCCGTGTTTTGCAATCAAAATCAAATGTATTTGATGAATTTGGCAGTATTTGTTCTTATGTTTGACTGTAAATGCACATTTTTCTGCTCATTATATCAATCACAGAGTATAAGTTGAAACCAAGCAAGGCTGAAGAAGCACCATTGTAGCAGAACAGAGCCAGCCCAAGGCATATGCAAATTAAGCAGCTTCTTAGGGTCTCCACACCACCAGGGGGCCCCCAAGAGAACCAAGCTAGAGTGATAAAACAATATATTTTTCAATAAATGAGATTGAATAATGCAATATGAATACTATGCAAAAATTAGTTCCATATTACTTTCATAGTTGGTTCATAAATAGTAGGTTGATCTCGTTTTGTCATTGTTTGGTGCTTCTTTTCTTGTTTACAGTAAATTTAGTGTTTATCAGCTGATATTACTTTCAAATAGTTAAAAAATTAAGGCTTTTTTTCTACATTTAAAATAAGCTGCCATAATAACTCCAGAACAATGTAAGCTAACTATAAATTATGCTAATGACAGCTTAGGAATAATTTATATGTTGGTATGGGGGCCTTAGGGTCCCAGAAAGGCTTGTTCCGGCCCTGTAGAAGAAGTAAGAAATGGTGCCACCTTCAGGATGGAGTTAAAAGTCACTGAAACATAACGGATTTGGCTGCTTAAGCAAAACAAATGTGCAATGAACTCAAATTTATTCATTAGAGCGAGAAAATGGAGGCACCTGTTGATTTTGGGTGAATTTGCACAAAAATTGTGAAAAAACTGATTCACTCTGTGACTCTGCACAGGGTTCACTGCACCATCAATGTGAAAGACTTTAAGTCCAGCTGGAGAAGTGGGGAGGCCTTCCTGGCCATCCTGTGCTCGCTCCGACCAGAGCTGGTGGATCTTTCACGGGTCCAGACCCGAAGCAACCAGGAGAACCTGGAGGAAGCTTTTCACCTGGCTGAGAGGGAACTCCACATCCCTCGCCTCCTGGAGCCCCAAGGTACGTCTGGAGCAACGACGCTTATTAAAGAACTAACTACACTGCAAAAACTCACCAAGTACTTTTATGTAGTTTCTACTGAAAATGTATTTGTTTACTGGAAATAAAACAAAAGTAACATTTCAACAACATCTATAGAGGCGTTAATAATTTCTCAATATTCATAAGTTATTAATATAAGTTAATAATATAGGTTTTATTAATAAAATCTATATTTTATTAACACAATTGTTAATTACAATAGTTTTTTTATTAACAATATTTTGGTTAATAGGCAGTTATTTTATGGTTTATTTCTGTGATTTAATGTTAAATGTCTCTAATTTTATATCTTATTATCTGCATATCCTGTCCCTAATTTCTCCACATTTCAAAAACAATGCATTAAAGTAGCAAAGTTACATAATGATGATGGCTCCTTTCAGATGTTGACGTTAAAGATCCGGATGAGAAGTCTATTATGACGTATGTGGCCCAGTTTCTGCAGTACTCCAACGATCTGCCGTCGCCTGATGATCATCTGCAGGTTGACATTAGAACCTCTTTCATTCAGCTTGTCCACCTTATTCAATTAAAAGAAAATTATTTCAGATTTGGAGTTTGTATTTTTGCCCTGTTTCATCATTTTACTCATTAAATATCATGAAATGATATTTAATCTGATTGGTGCAAGGAGAGAATTTTTATGATTTTCTTTTTGTAGCCAATCAGAACAGATTAAATTAGTTAAATAGTCGCTGTTCTGCATTATTAGTTGATCAATTTTAAGAAAGTTGTCAGTTCTTTCTCTCCGTTTTGAACCTTTCAGCTCATCTTCTCTGTCTTTCTCTGAACTGGTGGTGGCGTAGCTGTTTCCTTCAGTTTTCTACCCTGAGAATTTGCATGCTCACTTCGCTCCAGCAGCTGCTGTCTCACCATTACACACGGTACATCTTTTTCTCTGTATTTGTCTGCTCATTTCACATGTTATTTGGACGTATTCTCAAAGAAAACATAAGCAATGTTGGGTTTATTTTGTCAGAAAATCTTTGTTATTCAGCTGCCTTTGTGATTGTGCAGCAGAAACACTGCAATTCTCATAACTTGAAGTATAAAATTGCAGGCGTCACCGAGCGAGCGAGCGCAGGATGTGACCCGTTGGCTGCAGCAGGCCTGGCAGGAGCTTTCAGAAACATGGACAGCCACAGAGGGATCAAATTATGCAGAAAAATATCAGGTAAGGCAAAACTTCTGAAATGTTTTAATTTGATGTTTTGTAGTAACTGTTTTTTTTTTTCAGGTATACGAGAGCCTCACTGCTTCGTTTGATGAGCAGAGGCGATCAGTTATGAAGCTCCTTGCAGCAGCAAGGCGCCGCTCAGATCTAAATCAAGAACAGCAAGCGCTGAGGACAGCGTGGGATCGGCTGGAGGAAGAGGTAAGATCATCTGCTGTGTATGAAAAGCTTCGCTGTGCTAATTAAATTAAGTTTTTTGCTTTAGAATCTTAGATTTTTAGTGCAAAAAGGGAGAATATTATGTATTTTTCATACATAATGCCATTTTCTATCACAATTAAGCAACTGCGTTAACATTAACTGTTGTAAAACTGATACATAATAAACATGTCTCAAAAGACATTTGACTTCTTAATTTAGAGTCTTGAAATGGGGCGTCTGTCACTTTAAGAAGCTCCTGCTCTTTCTGACGCTCCGCCTGCAGGAAGTTGTTACAACTGTGTTCATCAAGTAAACCTTTAAAAGTGACTGGGAATATTATTGCAAACTGAAAAATTTTGAAATAAACTTTGATTTGAGTGTTTCATTTTGCCTTTGGGAAAAACATGCTAAGAAAAAATTATTTATAAAAATTATGTTAACATAATTTTTGTTATGTCATGTGGTGCAAATATTACCACCACTATGACCGGGAAAATAAATATCCTACCAACCGATTTAAAATGAATGTAACTGAAGCATATATTTAATCAGTTTCACAGTCATTCAGTTACTGTTGTTGTAATGTCCTTTTGCCATTCTGTTTTTTCCTCAGATTTCTGAGATTTATAATTCTGTGTCAAAATTTTAAAAAAGAACCAAACATTCTTAGGTGCATGTCGTTGTTGTTACTAGAGGAAAATAATCACATAACTGTTTCCTTCTTCTTGTAGGATTTGTAAACCTGCACTTTATCCACATTGAAAATCTGTCAAAATTGTTTTTGATGGATTTGAGTTTTAAGACAAGATTTGTTTGATAAACAATGTAAAAATTCTGATACTGAGAAAAAAAGTCAGAATTTTGACAAAAAAAATTGAATTCTGATGATAAATTAGAAAATTCTGAGGAAAAAGTTAGAATTCTGAAAAAAATTGAATTCTGCGAAGAAACTCAAAATTTTCTCTCACTTGTAAAAATAAAAATAAAATCAGAGGAAAAAATATCAGAATCCTGAATTTAAAGTCACAATTATTAGAAAAAAGTCAGAATTCTGGAAAAAAAAAATCTGAAATTTGAGATTAAGGTCAAAATTATTATTTTTGTTAGTGGCCCTAATTTATTTCTCTTAATAGTTAACGCTGGTAACTTAGAAAGCATTCTCTAAAAGAAAATGTTGTGTGTCCTGGTTCAGCTGCGGCGGTGTGAAGCGGACCTGGAGCGGACTCTTCCTCCTCCTCTGGACTCGGTTGTGTTGTGGCTGCAGAGAGGAGAGGCGGCGCTGAAAGACGACGGCGAGACGACCAAAGGTCATGCGGAGGCCGCTAAACATGCAAGAGCAAAACAAGACCAACTAAAGGTAGCTTCATTTTAAAGCAACAGAAACTGATACCAAGCATTCTGGATATGTATTAAATGAGCCGATTCTGTTTTTCAGACATTAATCAAGGAGATGAATCATTATGTGACGCTCACCGACTCGTTCCACAACGATTCAGGGAGTATGAAGGTGCCTTCGGAGAAGCTGGATGACATTAAGAACCGGTATGCAAAATATTTTTTAAACTTTCACCAGACGACGTAGATTCATCATTAATTTGTTACATTTTCCTAATTTTACAAAACAGTTTGATTGACATCCGAGTCACCACAAAATACAAAATAATAAAGCTGGAATATGAGGAATGGCGTCACACGGTCCTGGATCTTCTGGGAGTCATGGAGGCAAAGGTCCGGTCCTGGAGAACTCCGTACGGATCTCAGCAGTCCGTTCAGGTTCTTCTGCTTGACTGGCATGTGAGTTTACATCTGAAAAACCAACAACTAGCTTTTCATCTAATATTTATGATTATTTCTACAGCAAATCTGTGTTTCTGAGAACAGGACAGTTTTATTTTCCTGTTTTACCCCCTGCTTCCTGTTTGTCTAGGAAGCAGTGGAGCGCCGAGGTTTGCTCTTGATTCTGACTGACGCTCTGCAAAGCCTGAAGGACAAGATGGACGTTTACACCAGCAAACCGTCTCTAGGTATGGACTAGACAGTTACTCAGAGGTGCTTAAACAGCCAGCAGTTACAAAAGTGTGTCAATTAGTTACATACCAATGTTTTCAAACCTTTATTTTTGTTAATTCTGATAATTTTGCTTTTACTGTTAACGAAAACGTGGCATTTAAAGGGGACCTGTTAGTCAAGATTATTATTTTGCACGGTTTTGTACTTCCACTTGCTTCTAAGGCAACGCAAGTGCTTAAAGAAGACATCCAGTTTCAAACAGTTTCAAAACTTCCTATGCCGTTACCTAGCAACCCAGGTGGAGCTCCAGCATGTTTGGTCAGCTGGTTTTACTGTTGTGTGTGCTCTACAATGGCTGCTGGAAAAGACAAGTGTTTTGTTGCTCTTCAGAAACCATTTGCTGCATTTATGTTGGTTGTGTAGGAGGCTCCACTTCTGCTTTTCAAAGCTGTGCGATTGTATAATTGTGCATCCTTTTGCACATGGTACTTTTAGCCTTACAAAACAGCCTCATTAACATGTTCTATTTTATTTAAACTGTCTGTACATGCATTTAAACACTACACACTGTCACGAATTCATTGCAGAGTGTTATATTCACCTTTACAACGTAATACTTTATTTCTACACACTCGTCATTTCCCAGGTGGAGATTTGCAGCGTGTCACTCGTCAGGTGAAGGAAGCAGAAAGCGAATCAGAGCGGGTCAAACAGATGACAGCGGCTGCTAAAGATATGATGGAGAGAGTGGCGTCTGCATGGGACGTGTACAACAAGAACCTCGACTCTCTTGAGACGTGGCTGGTTCAACCTTCAGCTGCAGAGACACCGGTAAGCTCAGCTCGATTATCCTGGAAATCTGTAATTGGAATAAAAGTCCGTCAAATTGGCTTGTTCTGAACGCTGGCCGTTGTAGGATATGAGCGAGTGGAGTTCATGTCATGCTCGGTTGAATGAGGCGGGAAACTTCCTAATTGAAATGACAGAAGCTTCAATCAGCTCCAGTTTGGTGAAGCAACTCAGCAAAGTCAACTTGCAGTGGGCCGAACGCATGAAGAAGACTGTGTTTGTAAGTGGGTGTTTGGCACAAGGGGTACTACAAATTGTTAAACATTACAAATGAGGAATGATATAAATGTTTTTTCTTTCTGTAGGAAACACAATCAGAACCTAAAGTTGGTTCCTCTTCTGTTCTGATGTTGGATTCGCTAACACAGGAGGCAGGTTTGCTCCTGAGACAGCCTCTGGATGTAGCTTCAGTCCCCCTGAAGGCCTTCAGACAAAAACTACAGGTGAACTAAAAGTTAGACAAATAAAAGGCAGATTTTTCTAAAAGGACCTGTAATGCTAAATTTACATTTTGTCAGTTTTTACTTCCATTTTGGGTCTCAGCTGCTTTTAAAAACAAACCAAGCTCGCAAAAAAAAAAATCACCCAGGTGTTTTTTGTCTCTGGAAAATGAACAGTTTCGAAAACCTTCCAGAAGTAACATCACAAATCAGCTGGTATTGTCCCCTTACCTAGCAACCCAGTAAAGCCCACCCTGTTTCCTAGCAACCCCAGAGGAGCTCCAGCATGTTTGGTCAGCATGCCGGAGCTGAATGCACTGTACAATGGCTGCTGGAAAAGACGAGTGTTTTGTTGTTGACTTACCAACCAGAAACCACTTGCTGCATCATTGCTGGTTGTGCAGGAGGCTCTACTAATGCTTTTCAAAGATGTACAGTTGTACATCTTTGAACAATGAGTTGATGGGTGTTGGTGGTGTAGCCAATTTGGATTTAAAGTAACAAACTGCCCTAAAACATCCCTTCTGTAAAGAGCTCAAATTACGCAGAACTGACCAGGCTAAACTCTTATTATTTAAGAACGATTTTGTGCAAAAAATGTAAAAATGCATTCAGTGTTTAAATATTTATTTCTGGTCTGCTGTATTATTTCTCTTTTTACTCTCTTTGGCAGTCCATGAGAACAAAGATCGGAGAGGCGGATGCATCATCCAACATCCCTTCTGCAGACCTTCAAAAGGGCCAAAGAGAAAACCTTCAGCAAACTCTCCTAAAGGTAATGTGCAGAACTCAACCCTTCCTTACCCTTCATAGAAAGTTAATATGATGCAATATCTTGCAAAAGTATTTTTACTCCTCCCATTGTTGTCACATTACAACCACTTTAAACTTCAATTCTGTGTCAATCAGTGTCAAAATCTGAATAAAAAACCAGCATTCTTAGGTGTGTGAGAGTTCGTTTCAGGTCCAGTTGGTTCACTTCATTGCAGAAGTGAACCTACAGGACTTTTTCTAACAAAAGAGGAAATCAAGTTGGTAGTTAACATCAGTCCAACGGCTTCTGAACATTAAATAAAATCTAATAAATAACCTTAAAACTACAGAGCAACAGCTCCCAGTGAGCAGCTAGCACCAGTTAGCAGTTGTAGCCAAAATGGACATTAATAATGATAACGGTTAAAACAAATAGAACACATATTTAATATTTAACATTCTGTGGGGAAAAAAATAAAATAAAATTGTCAGATAAAGTCCAAAGACTTTTTTTTCACTCCACACTTTAGAGGTTTTATTTTGTTCCTAAAATTCTTATTTTCGGCTGCAGGTTGACAAAAGTTTAACAGGTTTCATTTTATTTTTCATGTGATCACTAATTCTGTTTCATAAGGAGCCGGACCTTTAACCTCTTACGTCTCCACTGCAGCTTGTTGAGGCGGAGAGACGCTGTGGGGCTCTGCAGAGGGCCGCGTCCCAACTGGAGGGGCGTGTGGCTGAACTCGATCACTGGAGCAGCGAAGCTCCGGACGGTTACGATCAGCTGATGGAGAGGAAACACAGAGGAGGACAGTCTGCTGCCAAAGTTAGTAACCACAAAAGCATCTTCTCGAACCGTTTTGGTTCTGGATTGGTTTGAAACAACCCGCTTTAACTCATTGTCTAGGTGTTGATCTCTCGGGGGTTGCAGCTGGTGCAGCAGGTGGTTGCAGAGTGGCAGCATCTGGAAGCTTTTGTTGCAGAACAACAGGAAACTTCTCCTTTGCAGACTTTCAGTACTGCTGACATGCAGGACAGGGTTGCAGCTGCAATCTCCCAAAGCCAGGCAAGTTCAGCTCAATAGAGCTGCAACTAACAGTTATGTAATCATTATGGTTTATTGTGTATGTATTGTGGTTTTTCTGGTCTTCTTGCGTCGTGTTGTCCACCTTTAATTGTTTCCACGTGTCTCTTTTCTAATCTCACATGCATGTTTTTTTCCCTGCTGGATTCTGTAGTCATTTTGCGTCACTTACCTGCTTCTTGTCTTGGGCTTATAACAAATTAAACAACTTTAAACCATGTTTTACTACCATGTTTCACCTCATTTACCTGAAGAAATTATTTTAATCTATGGATTATTTGGATAAACAAAAATGACATTCTCCAGATTTTTCTTATGCAACATCAGAAATACATTAAAAGATGCAAATAAGCAAATAATTCAATTCCAACAATTTTTTACTGAAGAAACACATCGGCTTTTCTGCGTGACTTAACATCGATACAGAGTAGGGCTAGTGTGTTGATTAATTTTTGGATTAAACAATCAGTAAATGGATAGTAAAACGTGTTTAATAGGAGATTTATTTTACAGAGTTTGAACCAGGTGAAGCTAAAACTTTACATTTAGGACAGAAAAATCTACGCAGAAATCTTTTTGTTTCTTCTACACTTTGTCTTAACTACTGCTCTAAATGTGCTGTTCTTTCAGCAAGTGGGCTATTTTTTAATCTGCATACTTGATTACTAAATTAGTTGACGATGATTAATCCCTTCAGTCCTCCTGAATGGACTGAAATTGGAATAACATATATTTTTTTATTTGTGTAGGAGATACTTGCAAAGTTTAGTTCCTGTGGTTTCAAGCAGCAAGTTGGAGACTTCTGTGAACAGATGCAACCAGTCGAAACTCTCCATCCAGACACTGGATCATATGTTCTGGCCAAAACCAAACAGACTGTTAAACTGCAAACTCCAGAAGTGATTCAGCTTCCTGATCTGGGGGCGAGACATCGCCAGGATTCAAAGCAAAGCACGGAAGACAGGAAGGGCTCTGCGTCCCACGTAAAAATAAAAACAATCCCTCAACCTGTGACGGTTCCAGTCCTGCAGAGTCAAACCGAGAATCCTGCAGCGGGGTCGACAGAGATCAAGTCCAGAACAGCGTCGCAACCGAACACCACACAGGAACCGACACGCACACAGCCGCCGCTCATGAGCCACAGTGAGGTTCATTGCAAAGCCCAGTCGATGGCCAGGAGTCGCCTGGAAAAGGCCAGGCTTCGTCTGCAGGGACGCATCCAGCAAGCCATGAAGTTATTCAGTGGCAGAGAGACGACCGAGTCACAAATAAAAAAAAAACAGGTGCAAGATCGATCAAATGCAGCTCATTTAATACATTTCACATTTTATTGTGGCCTATAATCTTTGGTAATTTGTGCTATTATACTTTTTGAAATATTTAAGATTTAATGCAGCCAAATTGAAATTCTGCAGAATTCCACAAAATTCAGCAAAAACTTTGCACTTCTTGTCAGCTCACTACTTCAAATTGTTGCTCATTGCTGCAAATGCTGGAAAAAGCTTATTTGCGTTGTCATACTTGGTGCTCAAATTGTACTTGAAATTAGACTAGCAGTGTGAGGACATACACTGCAAAAATACAAAATCTTACCAAGTATTTTGGTCCAGTCAAATCAAACTTACAAGTAACTGTCGGACGTAGGATCTTGTTTTAAGTCAATAATTCCTTAATATTGATGAAAAAGTTCTTGTTATAAGTAAAATAATCTGCCAGGGAAACATATAACTTTTTCATCAATATTGACAAACTCCTATATATCTCTGGAAAGTTACTCGTAAGTTTGTAACTGCGATATTTTTACTTGGATCTAGATCAAAAATACTTGGTAATATTTTGTGTTTTCTTTAAATGTCTGACGTTTTGGTTTGTGCGGCTGTCGGTTTTGTTTGCGCGCCTGTCCAGCTGTGTGTTTTTCTGTGCAGAAAGCTCTAAACACGCTGCAGCCGGCCTTGCTCGATGAGTTCCTGGGTGCAGCTGAAGCTTTCGGGGCCTTCTGTTCGGGGCCTCGGCTGCAGGACTTGCTGCTTCTCTCTGAGTCAGTCCGAAATCAGTGGGAGGTACGGCAGGACCTGGACAGAGTCTACATAAGACTGATTCTACGAGGATTTGTTAATTAATGGTTTACTAAATTAAAATGAGTTTTTATTTTAAATTAATTAGTTTCTTTTAGCAAAATGAGTTTTTGGGGCCCTCTAATTCTGCTAACAATGTGGATTGGTTGAAATCATTACATCATTCACACACCTTTATTTTGGGGGATGGTGATTGGCCGATTGAACTGATGTGAGTTGAACTAATTAACATCATAAGCACACCCTATCAGACACCAGTCTCCATTTCTGTGTCATGTTCAGGATGTGCGCAGAGAAATGGCTGACTTTATTTCCATCCAGGCGTCTAAAATCAGGGAAGTAAAGCAGCCATTCGCTGCTTGTGACATTTTTACTAATGCTCTGCATGACGCTGCTGACCAGACTGACCACAGTTACTTGCAACAGAACCATAAGGTACTTACAGGAGTTTAATATTACCACAACACCTGATGATGTTTAAAGATATTCATGGAGAGACGTTTGTCTCCCAGGCGGTCACCCAGGAGGCTGCGTCTGTGGAGGAACGCTTTGGATCTCTCCGAGAACTGGGCGAGACTTTGACAACAGGCTCTGCAGCAGAGCAGCAGACAGAGCCTGGAAAAGTGCAGAAAACTCAAATCAAGAGGTAAGATCATACACATCTGCACACGGAAGCAGTAATTTCTGGGTACTCTACCCACTGAGAGTGACTTTTCTCTGTTGTGTTATGCACTTTGAGCTGCCTTGTTTCTGAAATCTGCTATACAAATAAACTTGATTTATTATAGTTTTATCCAAAGATTCACCACACACACTTGGATTCTTTGGTTACTTTCATAAGTTTTATATTGAAAGAAACTGATTTAAAACAATTTTTCTTTTTCTGATTTTAGTTTCCAATGATGTTATATAAATTATTTTCATTTTGATCGTTAAAACACTAGAATTTCCACAAAACTATATTTTTTGGGCACATCTGACGACGTAAATATTAAATACTCAAAGTTTTGATCAGTTTCTCAGCACTTGAGTAATTTTTTTTTCTATTTTTTACTTTTGCTTGAGTAAAAACATGTTGAAGGAAGCATTTCTATCACAATCAGTAACTGTGACAGAAATGTAAACAATATCAGTATATACAAGTATTCGACATATAGAGCATTCAGTGAACTCAGCTCGGCTGGTGGAATCAACTAACTGCAGCAGCAGTTTAAGGTTCCTCTACTCTGCCTCACAACTGCTTAAAAATAACTAAAAATAAACAATGACATGGAGTGAAAACTGTGGAGGAAACAGGAACACCACCAGTTTGGCATTAATTTATATATTTAAAACAAGAGACGCTGATAATTATCAATAATTATCCATTTCAACTGATATGAAATTCTTATGTATTCAGTTGGTTTCAGCCTTTTGTGCAAATAAATTTATTGTCATTATCAGCTTGTTGTTTTTATTAGTTGTTCTGTCATTTATTTTTTATCATTGCATAGAAATTATCTTTTTATTTGGCCAAATTCTAACAGATTTTCTTTAGAAAAGTGTTTACCTGGGTAAAAATTGTTACGCTTGATGATTTAACTGATGCAAATGATTTCATTTCCAACTTTTATCTCTCTAATCCCTACAGTCTCTAAATTTAATGAAACGTCTGTTGGGTTGAGTAGCTGCGGCTGCCCTTGGCCTCCCCCTCATAGCGTCTCTTATCTCAGCAGGGGTCAGCAGCCCGCGGTGAACCCCCCGCCGAGTCCGGCCGACACGCAGCCGGGCTGCAGTCTCGCTCCGGAGCGCGGCCTGGACGGAGCGCAACAAGACATTTCGCCCTCAGGAAAGGCAGCGCACGCTCAAAGAGCCGACGACGCCCTGCGGCCGCGGGTCCGGGACGTCCCGGCGGGGACCGAGGACCACCTGAGGCAGAACCGAGGAGACGGGCGGGAGGAGAAGCAGAAGCCTTCACTTCGGGCTCAAGAGCAGCTGCTGCGGGCTCACCTGCTGCACATCACAGGGGCTCCGACTCATATACAGGTATGATGAAAAATACTGTTTTCTTCATGCAATTTAGGTTTTCATGCAACAAGTTGAAAACCTGATTTTCCTCACGCTAAGTTCACAAAAATGAAATCATCTAAAAAGATGATTTGTAGTTTTCTCTGCAGTAGATTATCGCCATAAACTACAGTCTTTGTTTTAAGTTTTGACTTTATTGCGTTTAGTCCTATAAAGCTATAAAGTTCGACTGAGCTTTATTTTAACATTAACGTTCAAAACAGACCCATTATATGTTTGAGATATTATTAATACAATTGTTTTTCTTGTTTTAAATTTAAACGTGTAAACAAGGAAAGAAACAAATAGAAAGTTTTGAGTGTTTCACACATGCAACAAAACTTACATTTTAAAGTTTTATTTTAATTTATAAAAATTTTTAATAACCAAATATTTTTGGAGATATTTAAATATATATGATCCCTAAATGTAAAAGTAAGTGGTATAAATCGCTTACAAAATTCAATTTAACATAGTGTTTATATATTTTTTTATTTTTTTGTATCTTGTCCTATTGAGGATACTATATTTAACTCAATATTTTTTTATGTTTTTTAACATTTTAAAGTATTGAGCACCTGGACATATCTAATTATATTTATTGTGTAAAGTTTGCTAACTCTTTTTACTGGGATAAATAAACTTGATTGATTAGTTTATATTTTTGTTGCTTCTTTTATTTTTTTCCTTTACCAATTTCTGCCATAAGCCTTTCGAATAATCACAAAATAATATATATTTCCTCCGCAAATGTTTTCCTTCTTTCTGCTCAGCTTGAATCATAGTTTTGTTGCTGTTTTTAGTTTTCTCTACTGGGTTCAAGTCAAAACTCTGACTTGTTTGCTTTACTTTCAGATTATTCTCAAATCTTAATTTGGTTTGATGTCCTCATTGTTAAAATACAGAACTGATAGATTATATGTGTGTATTTATCGTCTGCCCAGTTGGAAACTTGACCCGTACCGGTTCACTGCTCCACCTTTTCCTCTCTGCTGTGACGAGCTCTTGCTGCGCTGCTCTCTCCTCTTGCAGGCCGTTGTGGGGAGCAACACTGTGGAGAGCAAACAGCAGGCAGAATGGACCGTCATCCCAGAACCGGACCTGCCACCCGGGCTGGAGCGGGCCTCTGAACAGGACGCAACGGGAAGGTACAGACGATAAATTGGCCCAGAAGTTTTCGCGATAAAAGATGATATTGTTGTTTTGAGATCATTTTCAAGTAATGAAGTGGTGATGGCATTATAATGCAAAATGGATATTATCAAAGATCAACATCTTTAAGTTCTAATGAACATTTGGAACTGGAAGACTTTTTAAATATCCAAAATAGATAAATGAACCAAAAAGAAACATCAAAATGAAATATCAAGTTTCTGTAAATAAAATATGTGCTTAAGAAAAAGAAAAAGCGCCAGACTGAAGACTTTTGTTTTCCAGTTTTTGGTAGAAAGAGAACAACAATAAATAAATCATTCAAATAGAAATTATTGAGGTTATTGTAATTTATCATACAGTGTTAATTGATTTATTGTTCACTGAGACAGATCTACGCTTAACTAAGTTTAGTGGAGTATGAATAATTACATTTCCGTCGTTAACACAGTTTACTAAAGGAATTGTTTTATTCTGTGATTCTTGGTACAGCAGAATGGTTCCCCTGAAAAGTACCTCCGACCCGATGGATTCTGCAGACGATCAGACGACAATAATCGCGGAAAAGCTAAACCGGATCATCATGCAGCCTTTGGACGTCTCCTCTCTGGCGTTGGATGAATCCTCACTGTTTTCTGATCTGAAGGTGAACGACGGTTTCCCACCAGTCTGCACTGAAATATGCAAACGTGAACATTAACCCTTGATGTGCTTCCCAGGAGATGGATGAAACGCTGCAGGATGAGATGAGAAGGCTTTCAGAGCAGGAACGGCGAGGGCCGGGAGCCACAAGGCAGCCATTCCTACGCCAGTCTCTCCTCCTCGGTGACGCTGGTCATCTGGAGCGGCTCAGACAGCAGCTGGACGCCGTTCAATCCGCCGTGGAGACGCTGGACCACTTCCTGGCCACCCTGAGAGACATCAAGGCTGAGAGTCCAACGCTGCTGGCAGACCGAGACCCCGACGAGCGTAAAAATGAAACACACAAGAGACACTCTTGGCAGGCAGCGTTGGAGAGGTGGAAGGCTGCTATGGAGCAGTCCCATGTTGTTGACAGCAGCTTAAAGGCAGCAGGGATGACTCTGACCATGGATGGTGCTTCTGTGACATGTAGGGACGTGGCAGCCTTTCTGTCCCATCAAATGAGAGCCAAGAGGCGAGAGGGAGAGAAAGAACTAGATATTCTGGAAAAGAGTGGCATCCAAAGCAGCAACGACGTGGAGGAACCGAGATTTGCTCCAACTGTGACAGAAGAAGAGTCAACACTGGAGGGTGAGAAGAGGAAGCAGGAACCAAAAATACCAAAAGAGGGCTTCTTGCAAAGAAGCCAGAGCAGTCTTGCTGGGAAAGCTGGAAACGAGCATCAAGGTTTGCTCCAGAGGAAGTCTGCCTTGTTAGCAGCGCTGAAAGAGACCAAAGCAGCAGCTGAGAGGCTGGAGCTGCTGGAGCCGACGCTGCCGGCGCTGCAGCACAGGTACCACACTCACCTGGTTCTGAAGCAGCTGAACACGCACAAACAGCTGCGCTCCCACTACAAATGTCAGAAAAACATGTCAAAGAAATCACAGTTTCTAACTTTTTATTAGAAAATGTGTTTTTTACATATGTGTTAAAATTATCATGGTGTCAATAATCAGTGGAAAATCGAGGTGCTTTGCCTGCAGAAATCCATCACTCACTTAGAAACAGCCAAACAGAGCAAGGAGGAGGGTCTTAGCGCTGTCCATCATTCTCACGTATCTGCTGCTCTCTACTACACACAACATATCCTCCCACAAAAGTTAATGCTAGTTAGCATAGCTACCGATGATGGTAAACAAATGGTTTTCTGTTGTTCCTCTGCCATTAGCACATTTAGCATCCTGTACACGAGGATGACTCACAGCGCTAAGACCCGCCTCCTGGCTCTGATTGGTTGGTTTTGACCAGGAGCGTCGCTGCTGAATTAATTTTTTTCCCCACAGATTATCTGTTTCGCACCAAACTGTCACAACAAAGTGACAACTTCAACAAATATACAAAAACAGACTTTTTAAAATAAAAATTGCTTTTGAAATTCCGATTTGTCCAATTTTATGGTCAATAACAGCTAGTATTGCATGGTATAATTCTTATCCAGTCAAGCATCTGGACAATTCCAGTACCTCAAATCAGCTGCATATATGATATCATAATATATGTTATATATTATAACATATATTAGGTGAGAGGTTTCTTTAACTTCCTCTGCAGGACGCGGGCTTTGACGGAGCTGGAGAGTTTTCTTGCTGGCCTTGACTCTGAGGTTCAGTACGTTCATGATGCGTCTTCAAAATCAGATTTCCCCCAGGAGAATCAGAGCAGAGAGGTGGAGGATCTCTGGGAGGAGACGAGGAAAGCCACATCAGAACGGTAAAGTCAAGCTCAATGTGTCTGTAATATACAACGAGTAAATGTAGACAGAAAAAAGGTTAAAAAAAAACTCAAATTTTGAGATAAATCTCTAGAAAAATTATGGAAATTTCAGAACTTCATAAGTAAAATAAAATTAAAACTTTGAAACTCAGACATTTCTAAGTTTTTTGTTTCTTTTTAGAAAATTTCTCAGATTATTCTAAGTTTTCAGTCTTTTTCTAGAAAATGTTGGACTTTTGGAGCCCAAAAATATCTTTTTTTTTGTTTTGTTTTATCACAATTTTTTTTTTCAAATTTTCCCATGTTTTATTTTTCTAAATAATTTGAGATTAATCTAAAAATTTCTAAGCTTATTTTTGATTTTTCAAACTCAGAAACTTCCATGTTTTTTTCTACAGGATTTAATATATTAACCTCAAAATTCCTGATTTTTTTTTCCATCAAATTTTTGATTCTTGGAGCTGTTTTTTTTTTCTAGAACTTCCTTTTTATTCTTTGGTTTTAATTTACTCCTCCTTTTTTAAATCATTTTCTATGCTCAGTTCCCTGTATTGATGCAAGTCAGTGAAGAGTTTGTGTTGTGTTCACTCCCAGGCTGCAGCAGGCTCAGGTCCTGACTGAACTGCTCAGGAGGTTTCAGATCATGCGAGGGGAGCTGAACGGGAAGCTGCTGACGGCTGAGGCAACCATAGGAGAACAAGCCTCCTACGTCGGAAAAGATTACCTGCAGAGGCTGTACGCAAAGGTAGTTCATGCTGACATCACCTCGTCTTGTTAAAGCCAGAAATTCTCAGAATTCTGAGATTAAAGTCAGAACTGTTTTGTTTTTTCCCCCCAGTGGCCCTCATCCTCTTTCATACCTCTAGCACCAATTTAATTGTGACATTATATGTTTGATGTTCTTAGACATTGAATATTTTATTTGTGTTCACATCTTGTCATCTACTGTCCCTGTGTTTGTTTTGTTTCTTGCATGTTTCTTGTTGAGGGAGAGAGGGGGGAAGGGGGACATGTGAAGAGAATGTCTTCTCTTATTTTGAAGAGCATGACTTATTATCAATCAATAATCCAAACTTCAAAATTAACTTAGGGGAAAGTAAGTGCACTAAATGTTTTCAAAGTTAGGAGAATGCTAAAAGCAAAATTAGCTTCTCTATTAGTAGAAATGTGCCCTCCATTGTTAAAATGTAGGCTACTTTATTAAGGTTTCAGACCAACAAATAAATGCAAATGAGAGCCAAGAAAACATAATTTAAGCTTCCTTTAGTTTCTAAATAACCAATCAAAAGTTATCTATTTCTGATTGGTAGTAGATAACTTCTGATTATCGACTAAATAAAAGTCCCCCTGTGTGTTTCATCTAATGTCATTATACATAGGACAGCTGTTTTGTGAGTCATTCATAGGATTGTTAGAGAACATTGTGAACCGAAAGCAACATGGAGTCCAAGGAATGCAGCAAAGTCAAGGATAAAATGTATTAATTAATCTCTCATCTGAGAATGTTAAAACTAAACGTTCCCAGACATGCTGTAACGGGAAACAACATAAAAATGTTAAAGATGACAGAATATTTCCACTTATTACATTAGGTTAGTTTAATCTGCAAAGTGTGAGAGATTTGTATTTTATTTTTTTTTTAGGTTGGAGAGACGAAAGAGGAGATGAACGGTCTGGGAGACGACATAGAGGAGACGCGCAGCGTCTGCAGACAGCTGCAGTCTCTGCTGCGTCAGGTCCCGGGCTGCAGCAGTTCTCCGTTTGAGAACGAAGCCGATGCGCTGATGGACCGCTGGCTGGATGCAAGTTCAGTTTATCACATCTGGATGCTGCAGTTTTAACCAGATAACTATTTCACAATATGCATGAAAAACAAAACTGGTTAAAGAGCCACATTCACTCATAATATCAAATTAAAACAAATAGTTATTTTACTTTAGAATAATTTAATCAATGTAATGCACTTCCATCTCAGGATACAACATGCCGCTAAGCATTCTGGGAAATAGTTCCCATTCCTGTCTTTTTCTTCTTTAAATGTTTTTTAGTGGTAAACTAAAAGCTTTTAGAGCTTTGACTAAATTAGCAAAAAGTTACAACTGTGAGTTTATCTTTCACAAACTCAGATTTAGGTTCAAAATATAAAACGGACTAAATTTAATTGATTTAAAGAGCAGAAGATACAACTAAATGCGACTCAAATGTTTTACGGTTTTTAAAAATCCAGCTATTTTAGGTCATTCCACCTTTTTATGAATGCATCTTCACTTTCTCTCTGTTTGGCTGCGTACTTCCTGTCCACGCAGATAAACTAAAAGTTTGATAGTTTACAGTAAAGTTTTGTGCTTTACTGTAATAAAATCTCTTTGCTTTCTGCAGCTGTCTGAAAGAACGGATTCCCACCTTGAAAACCTCCATCTTTGCTTGACCTTATGGGACGGCGTCCTGCAGCTGGGGGACGAGGTGGAGAGCTGGACCAACAGCAGAACCACGGCGCTTTCCCAGGGTCCGACTTTCCAGACTGAGGACGACATTAAGGCTCTGCAGGTAAAACCCAGACTCTGCTGTGTTGATTCCCCAGCTGGCTCTTTGAAGGATATTAACTTCTTTGACTCTGGCTGCAGAATGAGATAATGACCCAGGAGGAGAGTACACGGCGTTTCCACAGAAAAGCTGCAGAGATTCAGTCGCTGCTTCAAAGCGCAGAGCCCCCTCTGGAGCTGCAGGTGCACCAGTTAGTTTGGTTTAAGGTGTAAATTTCAGGATGCATAAATATGAAAATCTTGTTCTGTTGCAAACCTGAAGGTTCAAACTTTCTGGTTGATATTTTTGTATGACATTTATTAACAAATTTAGGCACCTGAAGATCTGTAAGCTGAATATATTTTATATTTCTCTTTAAATTAAAGTCATTAATCAGAAACAAAGTTGCTAGAATCTTATGAAAGCTTTTTTTTCCTGTTTTTAAGGTTGTAGAGACCCAGATGAGAAAGAAAATAGAGCAACTGAAGGAGCTGTTTTTGGAAAGTGAGGAGGTGTATAAGCAGACGGTGGCCACAGTGGGACAAATTACCGAAAGGATGGCAGAGTCTCTCAGCTCCCTCCAGAAGATTCAAGACTCGCTCCGCAGTCTTTCTGCTCCAGACGTTGCAACAGTCCTGGCGAAACTCAAGGTAACTGCTTAAATTATGCTTTTTTTGTACTGTTATTTCCCAAAATAATGCAAAATTCACATTATTTTGCAAATTTATTTCCCTTTAATTGGGTTTAATTGCTTCTAAAAATCAAAACCAAGCGCTTAAAAATAAACAACCTGTTTTTTCGGCAAAAAGTTCATGTTTTTTTTTTTTAGTGTTTGGAAAATTAGCTGTTTTACAAACATTCGAAATGTAACAACAAAAAAATCGGCAGGAACTGCTGCTGACCTATAACCCCAGCAACCCAAGCTGAGTCCTAGCATGTTTGGTCAGCTGGTTTCACCGCTGTGTGCGCTGCACAATGTCTACTGAAAAAGACCAGTGATTAAATTTATAATTATGTTTTAACTTGTTAAACAAAAACTCCTTCACAAATTTGTTCCTTTTCCGTATCCAGTGTCCTAATTTGTTCAAAAGTTGCTTTTTTTATGGTGGAAATTGTGTTACAAAAAATAAGAGATCAAGATTTAATTTCTTATTTTCTTTCTCAAGGACATTTTAACTGGAGATTCTTGTGAAGCTTTGCTCAAACTTGCTATTTCAGGGTTTTTTAAATGCTCATTTATAACAGTGACATCTAACTTGACCACCATATGTTTTTATGTGGGCCTCTAGATTCTAGACTAAACACTAAGTGAGCTTAAATATTATGTTATCAATCAAATCAATGCAGTTTTTATCTGTTTACTGCCAACCAGTCTCCAGTTTCTTGAGAATTATCGTGGAAATTCACACAAAATAAACAAATTTCCACACTTTTTTGGGCTAATACATAATTGGGAGTTTACTGGACGTTTTCTTACTTGAAAAGGTGTTTAATATTACATTTTAATTTTGAGGATTCATTGATATTTTAACAGTGTGTGAACAGGTTTTGTCAATACATTCTGGCACAACCGGCCCTTTAAGAGCCTTTATGATCCTGATTTGGCTAAAATGAGTTTGGTACCGCTGGCCTACAGGAATTATGTCGGCGGCTTCAGACCGAAGATGAACGAGCGCAGAGTTTACTGGAGGATGTGCAGGTTGTGGCCTCCATCGTCGGCCCAGACGGCCTCCAGAGTCTGTCTGCCAGAGGGATCGAGCTGGAGGAGAAGCTCAGAAACACACATCAACTTTTTTCCCAGGTGGAGGAACAGACCGAGAGGAACGTCCACCACCTGGACAGGTAACCTCCTCACATTTTCATCAGATCACGTTCTGGGAATGTAGTGATTTAAATGGTTTTGTTTAGTTCTTTTCAGTGAATTAGTGTGGATACATATATGTGTCGGGACAATCTCACCAAGCTGTAACGATGAAATTCTGTTGATTTTATCTGAATTTGTTCAGTTAATTAAAAGAAAGAAATAAGCAAATCAATTATTTAAAAAAAAATGAGAGTGACATTTTATTGCCTAAAATGCAACTGCATAGCATTGATAGCAAAATATACTTAATTAGAACCAGGTGAAGCTAAATTAGGGGTAGAATGTATGTAGTGTTTTTTATTAAATGTAAAATGTATGTTATTCATTAATCATTAATTGAGTCTGTCTACTCCAATTAAACAGTTATTAAACTAATTGATGACGATTTCAATAATTGCTTAATCATGATTAATCCGATTAATCGTTTAATTGTAAAAGAAGATTCAAACCTTTTACTCACAGGCTGTGGGAATAAGAGTCAGGCAGAAAAACAAGTTAAACTGGAGATAAAACCAGAGCTGCTGCAAGTTTAGCTTGTTTTCATTTAGCAGTAGGTCCTGCTCTATGTGGGAAAGTTTCTCTCTTTGTAATAATCACTTGAATCTATTGTGTGCTGTGCAGTTTGTGCATTAAAGCCTCTGGCCTTTGCAGGCTGCAAACGGAGACAGAGCAACTGGAGAAGTGGCTTTGTGCAGCTGAGGAAGATGCACTGAAGACAAAGAATCTGAGTTTTCTGCAAAAAGAAGTTCTTCAGCAAAGGTAAACTGCTAAAAAAAATGAAATAATGAGTTATTCCAGCAAAATTAGTTATATTTAATCAATGTTATTGGTTAAAAAGTGTTTTTTTCTTCTTTAAATGCACCATATAACTGACAGAACTGCAGTTTACTGCAGAGCTTTTCTAAAACTGACAAAAGCATTATTTATTTCACATCTTTTATTGAAACAAATTTGACCTTTGGATCAAATTTGTAACATTTTAAGTACATATTCATATGTTTGCTTTACTACATACCTTGTTTTTATATTTATTTTACTCTTTATAGTAAATATCTAAGTAAGGTAATTTTATTTATATAACACATTTTCAGCAACAAAGCTGTTAATTTACATGAATTAGAAGGAAATACAAAAAAAAAAGACAACAAACCAAAAGAGACAAAAAGGTAAAAGTATAATCCTACATTTTGGTTCCTCATGTTTCAGAAGACTAAGAATAAATAGTTCTTATGGTACTAATTTGGAAACATTTCTGCTTATTTATGACGTAAATGTGACTTTTTATAACTTTCTATATAGATTATAGACTATAATCTGACATCAATTAAAGCTGAGGCACCTGTTTAATACAAGTAAGAAAGTTTTTGACAATTTTTGAGAAAAATCTGCAACAAACTCAAAGTTTTTAGCTCAATTTGTTGATTTAGTTTGAATTTCCACGATAATTTTCAGGAAACTGAAGGGACATATTGATATAATTTGGCAATAAACAGATAAAAACTGCATTGTTTTTACTGATAACAAAATATTTAAGCACATTTAATGTTTAGCTCACAACTTAGAGGGCCACATAACAAGCTATGGCGGGCCGGATTTGGCCCATGAGCCTCGAGTTTGACACATGTGATGTAAAGAGTCTAACCGACTTGTTTGTAGTTAATTAGTTTCTCTGTGTTTTGCAGAGGGAGGACAGAGCGTATTGCTGAGCTCATATCAATTTTAAGAAGCAGTAACCTGCAGCAGTGTGTGCTGCTGCAGCACAGCTGCGATCTGCTGCAGCGATGTCACAACTTCTGCACAAACCTGGGAGGCGTTTCTGAGGAGGCGCCGCCCAGCAAGAGTAACGATTCAGAAGCATTTCAGCGTTTGGTTGAATCCGTTCAGTCATGGTTCGATGATCTGAGTGACGGTGGAGAAATTAAAACTTCAGCAGAGCAAAGACTTCATCATGCTCAGGTAGGAACATATTCCATATTCTAAACAAATATTCTTGAAATATTTAGCAAAAATGAATAAAATAACTTATTTTTGTGTAATTTAAAGATCTTTAAGCAACCTAAAACAACACAAAATTAACTTCCAAACCATTTTATTATTAGTTTTCCACAATTCAGCCTTTAATTATACAAAGGTAATGATAAAATATTTGTCAATTTGTGAACCTCAAGTTAAAATTCCACCTTTTTATGCCAAATAAACCTTTAAACTGTGTGTTTTTAAAAATGTCTGTCATTAAGCTTGAACTGTTCGATGCAAAAGTCTTTCCCACCACTTCCGTAAAATGTGGTGGTGATAGCATCATATTGTGAGAATGCTACTTTTGTTAGCAACAGGAAAGCTGCAAAAGATTACAACACGTTCTTGATGGAATGGTCTAGTCAAAGTTTAGCTCTAAATGTAAATAAAACTCTGTGCTTAAGCTATTTCTTCAGATATGCTGGTAGTGATATACTCTAAAAGACATTTCTAATAGCAGTGAAAAGTGGTGCTAGATACAAATGCACACCACACTTTTCAGATTTTCACTCTTAAAAATGTTAAAATATGAATTATATCTTTTCCACTTCATAATTGAATCTATTTTGAGTTGGTCTGTCATGTGAATATGAAAAAAATTAAAGAAGTATGAATAATTTTGCAAATTATTTGCTAAAGTTTGTCCAGCTTGTTCTAAGCATGTTGCTGTGACTCATAACCCGAACAAACTGGATCGAGCAGACACAGTAATCTGAATAAACAGATTACGTCTCACGCTGCTTATGCCTGAGTTTGGAAACGTCTGTGATTCAATAAAACATTTTGTTTGTGTTTCAGGCTGTGTTAAGAGCTACAACTGGAGCGGAAACGCGTCTGGAGGAGCTCAGAGTTACTGGAGAGAGTCTGAGCCAACGATTGTCTCCAGAACTGAAACGAGACGTTCAGGTGAAGATCCAGAAAACACAACAACACTGGAAGAACCTTCTGGAATCGGTTCAGCTTTATTTCAGGTGACTAGAGCCAGAAATATCTCTTCAAAAACTCAGAATGTCACATTTTTCAAACCTTCTCCAGGGGCAGTCCAAGGCTTTTTGAGGCCCTGGGCAGATTTTTATTTGGGGCACCCAAACCAACATGTCAACACTGGATTATTTTTCCTTCCTGTGTTTAACATACATGGCATCATATTAGCATAATTTGCAATTAGGATACATCTGGTTATGGCTGTTTATTTGAACTTTTTAGTGGCAATCCAAAATGAAATTTGGATTTTTAACAGTAGAGTAATATAAAAATTCCCTAATATTTTAATTAAATGAGAGTAACATCTGCTGATAAGCACTAAATTTGCATTAAAATGTTAAGTTTGATACAGCAGGAAGAAATTAACCTATTATTGTTGTAACAGCTATAATAAAATAATATAGAAGTAATTTTTCCAAATGTAGTTTGTATTCTTCAAGTGCCTCATATCCATTGATCAATTTGGAATTATGAAAATAAATTTGCTTACTGGAAACACAGCAATAAAAAAACAAAAAACTCATTTTGGTATAAAAATGTTGTTCTAGGTCGAGTAAGGAAATTAGCGTATTTTAGCATGTGAACAAACTTATTTATTTAAAATGGAAGCATAGCAGTTTGCAAAATTGTTACTTTTTCCGTTTATTGACAAACTATTGTGCACATTTGTAATGTAAATTCAGCTTCTGTTATTTAAAATAGATATACATTTATTTTATTACGGTAGCTTGGTGCTCTTGGGGTCCCCCTGGTGGTGTGGTGGTCCATTGAACTCGCATCGCATTGAGGCAATTCTGACTTTCTTTGCTGGTCTATCTATTTTTTTTGCGATGTTCTTTCAGGGCACTGGAAGATGATTTGGAGCTCTCCTCTGCCTACCTGACCAGCAGGCAGGAGGCTTCCTGCAGAGTGGAAGAGCTGCAGCACCAGGCGCAGCAGCTTCCATCTTTATTCCCCTGGCCGGGCTCAGCCGAGCGAGAGCAGGCCTGCCTTCTCGCCCGGCAGCTGCGGGCTGAATCTGAATCACTGAAATTAACCTTAATCAGCCTGGATGAGAAAAGGATGGAGCTGGCAGAGAAAACCAGGAACGCCATCTGGAAAGATCCCTCCTGGGATGAGTTAGAAACCCGTTGGTCGGCACTTATGGCAGAAGTGAAGGTAAAAGGAATTTCACAGTGACTGCCAGTTGAGTTCATGTTAAATGCATTAGATTGATAAATCTCTAATTTGATTTGTAACTTTTTTTCTGTAAAACCTTAAAAATGCAAAGACAAAGGACCACATATCCAAAATCAAACAATTAAAAAGCTAAATGAATAATACACTAATTAATAAAATAAAATGAATTAAAGTCGTGGTCTTTAACTTGGGGATTGTGAACCCTACACTGCAAAAACACAAACTCTTACTGAGTATTTTTGACCTAGTTTCAAGTAGCCCACGAACTCGCTCCTTGCAACAACCTGTTGCGTAACTGGCGCAGCAGCAGTTCATATTTCTGCCACTGTTATTTATAACGTCTTGAAAATAAAAAAAACAACAACATGGAGAGAAAACTGGATGAAACAGGAAATCTTACATATTTTCCGTTTTGTTTTCATTTTTACGTACTCTGTCTGATGATGTAACTTTTAAATAATAAATGATTTGTTGTGTTTCCTTCTTACAAAATTCTTGGTAGTAATTTCCTGGAAGGCCAGTTTTTAAAATATGCTGAAGTAGTGTAACTCTTGCCTGAGTGCAGGCCTCCCTGAGTTTGAGTTGCTTGGTCTGCCTGAAATGTCCGCAGGGTTTGTGCGCCCACCTGCAGAAAGGTTTGAGTAATGAGGAGCAGTTCGGCCGGCTGCTGCAGGCCTGCCACCATCACTTGACAACCCTTCAACAGAGGATGACGGCTTGTCAGACCCGAGCAGAAAGCTCCGGTGGGCTGACCTCTGATGCAGCAGCTCTGGAGGTAAAACCCTTTAAGGAAGCTGACTCTGCATATTCTATTTCCACCTCTATCATGCTTTCTCTTTTTCTCCATCTGCTTCCCAGGCTTTGCTGAAACAAGCAGCAGAAATTGAAAAGGAGCTTTTAGTGCTCAGGGATTCCCTCGCAGCCAGCTGCACAGCAGAAGCCCAAGCCAGCCTTTCAGAGCAAATCAGTAACCTCCACGACCACAAGAGGGCGATAGAGCGAGCAATCCCTCTGCAGGAAGAAGCCTCCCTTTTACAGGCAGATGTAAGAGATCTCGCCAAAAATGTGGAGGAGCTGTCTGTGCTGCCAGACGTCTTCCAGCTGACGCAGCAGTGGCGTTCAATACAGGTAACATTAAAGAATACTGCAAAGTGTCACTACATCCCCAATAAACACATGTCAAAAACTGCATGCATGCTTTCAATAAAATAAACATTTGTGCTTCTCAGGGGTGGGATAAAAAACTGACACAGCTGGAGATCAGAGCTAATGGCCTGCAGAGGACAAGGGAAACACAGGAAGTGCTTCCTGCAGAAGGCATTTTTACTGTCAGTGCTGTTCGGAAGGAGCTGCTGAGGTACTTTGTCTCAGATTATGACAGCAGATAAAGGCAGATGTGACTGACAGCAAGCAGCGAATGGCTGATTTAGCAGGAAAAATGGGGAAAACAATGTTCTTCTTGTTTTATCATGTATTTCTTCAAATAAATGTATTCATTTAAAATATATTAATATATTGGTAAATTCAAATAAATTGTTGAATTTGTGAAAATTCAATAAAATAATTTATAAAACCGACCTGAAAATTTTATAGCTTTGTCAGTGGAGTATTAAGGTCACACTAAGAATATAAAATAATAAAATTATGAGATTAAAATAATAAAATTATGAGAATAAATTATAAAATTATGAGAAAAAATAAAACAATTATGAGAATAAATTATAAAATTATGAGATTACGGTCATAAAATTATGAGACTACGGTAATAAAATTATTAGATAAAGTAATAAAATTATGGGAATAAATTATAAAATTAGGAGATTAAAGTAATAAAATTATGAGAATAAATTATAAAATTGTGAGATTAAAATCATAAAATTATTCTCACATGACTTCATTCTCATTATATAATGATTGTTATTTTAATTTTTTATGCTTTACTTGTAAGGCCCTCATTCTACTAGAGAGTCACACAGCTCATGGATATGGAAATTTCCATTACAGAAAGAAGAGAAAAGCCGTTTTAATTTCCATAAAAATTCACTTCCCATTAATTTTTAAGAACATTTTGAGTAAAAAACTGAATTCTCTCCTTTTTTGTGCCCTAAATCCAGCCTGAGGTCAGTTTTTAACCAGAAAAAGGAAGAATGTGTGGAAGTAACAGGTGAAGTAGTGAGAGGCGTCATCAGAGATCTGCAGCTGTGGATCCAAGCAGCAAAAGTTCAGAGGTCGTCATCATCCAGTCAGGTAATTCAGGCAAAACGTTTCCATTAATGTTTCCCCTTAAGCATGAGATTTAGATTCAGCCCCAAAACTTAAGAAAACATAATCCTAAAGTGACATATTACTGCTACATTGTCTCCAACATTTATTTATTGTTTTGTTTTGATACTTAAGTAAAGATTTATGTCAACTTTATAACATAATACAGCAACCAATGAAACAAGCAATAAATGTTACAACATTTTTAAAAAATCATCAAGCAAATTCACATTAACTTGTTTGCTTATATTTTGAGTGAATCATGTATTATTATAGAGATTTTTTAATTGATATCAGATTTTATAATGAAGCTGCAATATTAGAAATATCTGAAAATGTAAAGTTTTTGATCATTCAGAGTTGTTTCATGCAAACTTGAGTTTGCAAAGTCCTTTTTTTTTTGCCAAAAATGTTCAAATAAACATGCACATAAATTTTTTCATTTGAATTTAAAATGAATGTGAATAAAATTTTTAGATTTTAGTTTACATGCCTGAATCAATACTTACTGATTCAGAGTAGTTTCATGCAAACTTGAGTTTGCAGTCAGTTTTTTTTTTTTTTTTGCCAAAATTGTTGAAATTTAAACTTTTTCTTCAAAACATGTAAATTAAAGTTGTGACTCAGCTCTTTGTGCTTTTGTAAATCAGAGCAGCTTCAGCCTCCAGTGCGTTTTTTGGCTGCACTTTGTGTTAATAACATAAAAATGACCTTTTCCTTTGTGCCTTTCAGACCAAACAGAACATATTTTTCTCAAGTTTTTTTTTCTTATTATTATTCATTTATTCATTGAACTTTAAAATGCCACGGATGGATCCATCCTCTAAATTATAATACAAGCGTTAGACCTTTCTCCTCCGTGTTAAAAATAAAACAGGTCATATCTCAATCAGCTTCAATCAGTTGTTTCAAAGTCCTTCTTTTGGGAATAATGTTAAAATTTAAACTTTTTCTGCAAAACATGTACGTAATTTGTACATAAATCGTGATGTATTTATAACAATAAAGAAACAAATATAAATGTAATTAAAGCTGTTTTTTTGCTCTCTCGCAGGCGGTTCTGGATGAAGGTTTACAGCTTCAAAACAAACTTTGCGACGTTCTTTCCCAGCAGAACATTCTGGTAAATTGTCTGGGTGAAGAAATGACGAAAACTCTGGTGGAAAACGCTTCAGAGGTTTTGATGGAAAGTCGAGGCCTGGTGAGAATATTCTTAAATTAAGAAGAATTAAGTTACAAGTGTCAAACTTATGGCCCGGGGGCCGAATACGGCTCACATGAGCTTTTTATGGGCCTTGTGTGCCTAAATGTCATTTCATCAATCAAACCAAAGCTTTTTGAATTACATCAGTCAGTCCCTCCACTACAGATCCATGCAAAATCAACAAATTGTTTCACGCTAATGTATAATTGTGACTTTATTGCAAAATTTCCACAAAAATATTACTAACTCCCACCTGCGGGGGGCAGTATTTCCTATATCGACTGCACCGCTTTACTTGATGTCTGTGATTGATACGGCGAGTGAAAGGTATTTTATAAGGACATATAAAGCAAAATTTCTTACAAATATTTAAACAGTTCTGGAAAAAAATAAGAAACCACTTACAATGATCAGTTTCTCTGATTTTACTCTTTATGGGTAAATAATAAAATCAACAAAAATATAGATTAAATAAACATATATATAAGAGCAAATAAAATTTGGCAAATTTGTACTAAAAATAATTTTTTTTGTCTAAATATATTTTTATGCAGCTCTGGGAAAAATTGGAGATCCTGACCCTTAAAATGATCAGTTTTTCTGATTTTACTTTTTTAGGTTTATGTTTGAGTAAAATGAACATTATTTTATTCTATGACATGTCTCCGAAATTACAAGAAAAAAATTTGTATTTATTTGCAGAAAATGAGAAATGGTCAAGGTAAGGAAAAAGATGCAGAGCTTTTAGAGCTCAAATAATGCAAAGAAAACAAGTTTATATTCATTTAAAACAATACTAATGGAACAATCAGGAGGTTTTATATATTTATTGACAAGTATTGATATATTAGTGATTTTGATTGCAAACAACATCTCAGAATCAATCATGAAATCCTGGAGGGAGTGATTAATGTGAAAACAATTAAAATTTTATTTAATTTAAGGACGAACATCTCAAATCCACACAGTCCTACTTACTAATATTTTTCGTCCTTTGGGGTTTTTGACAGGTTAGTCAAATGCAAACAGAAAAGCCAAACGGAGGTGATGAAGGCTGTTTAAGGAAAGAAGAAAAAACCGCAGAGTTTTGTGATCCCAACTCAGACGGACGCCAAGATGACCGGGAAACGTTACTCATCCCAACCAAACTGCTCACTTTTCAATCAGGAGTATTGAAGGATGAAACTGATGCCACTAAACCGGATCAAGAAAACATCCCTGTTATTTGTACAGCAGCTTCTTTAGACAATATTCCAACCCTGCGTTCAGAAAGTCCAGATGTTTTTGGGTCAAATGAGCCGAAAACATCTGATTCAGGAGAAATTAGCCATCGGATTGCTGTTGAGTCAATGGACGTGATAGTTACTGAGACAACGATAAACCGTGAAGAAGCCTTCGTTTTAGAACCGTCTTATTCAGACAAAATCAACAAAATCAAATTACCGATTGTCTTATCCCCGGAGGAACCGACTGAAGCAACCATTCCTGAGATTAACGACCAGTCCGATCCTCTGCCGATCCATTCAGAGAGTCCTGGTGCCTCAAAAGAACATTCTGATGTCTCAAACAAAGTATGTACGGTTGAACCGGAAACGGAAAATGAAGAAACGGAAAAAGAGCCGATTGAAATCACAGAAAAAGCAGCTAGATTTTCCACAGATTCAGCCCAGTCAGACTCGAACCAAACACCCTTAAAAACCTGCATGAAAGCTGCAAAACCAGAGACTTTCCATGCAGGTGCAAGAGAACAAGATGAGCATAATGGGCAAGTCGGGGAAAGCCAAGATAAAGTGTTCACTGTAGTTTTGGAGCTGCAGTCGTTTGACATACAGCAAAGCGGATATGTAGGAGATCTGCACTGTGAAACAAGTTCAAACGCAGGATTTGAGACGAAACCAAGACTCAACCCACAATTAGATGGAAAACCTGCAGAGCAAAAAGGTTCAAGCAGGCAGTCAGAAAACAAAGAGACTCAACCAACCCAGGCAGTAAAACACAATGAAGGTCTGACTCTATCTAAATCTGACTCCAAATGTGAGTTTGGCGTTGAAACAGGTGAAAAATCCCCAGTCAGCACATCTTGGGTGACTGCCTGTCAGCCGTTGGGAGAAACTGTGCCTCCTGCAGAGGATTCGCTGCCAAATCGAGATGAAACCGAAACAGAAACACAAACTGACGCAGCTGACAAACAACTGACAGCCAGCGGCAGGTCAATGAGCAGAGGTGGAGCAGGTGAGGAGGCGGCACGAGGAGGAGCCGACGACTCCGAATGTACAGAACGCCCTGCAACACCCACAGGACAAGATGGAGCGCTGAAAGAAATGCTGTTGCCACTGGGAAAGGTGAGCTGTTGGGTTTATTTGTTGGCACATTTTCAAAGTTTTTTCACTTCCTTTCTTTTTTAAGGAAGAATAAATGGATAAAAACAACATGAATACCTGGATAAACAATGACTAAGACTTTCTGTTCACTACGTTATCAATCAACCCATCAATCAAATGTTATTTTTGTATAGCACATTTCAGCAGCAAAGCATTTCAAAGTGCTTTATATGATAATAAACACAAAAACACAACAGAATCGACAATTAAAACTTGACATTAAGTCAAGAGCCATTGTTAAATTCGTAATTGATCACGTTTCAAATCCAACTCTAAACATCTGGGTTTTTAGTCGAGATTTAAAGGAAGTCAGTGTTTCAGCTGTTTCACAGTTTTCTGGAAGTTTGTTCTGGATTTGTGGCGCATAGAAGCTGCTTGCATCTGAGTGGTGTTTGAGAACTGAACCCGACTTGGATCGGTCGTTCGCTCAGAATCCTAAATGTGAAGGTTAAGACTCTTCTGACAAATACATTGATCTTTTCCTCATGGATAACTCCCTGCAGATTAAGACAACAACCTGTTCTCAATTCTTTAGATTTTTTTTTATAAAGTAAGGTTGACATTTGCAAATATGTCTTGAAGTCAAGTGTGAGACACTGAGAAATAAAAATGACATTTTAAAGCTGTAATTTCATGCTAAACTATTCGCCGCTCTTACAAGAACAGATTTGTGTTTCTTTTTTTTCTTACCTTATCATTTTTTATCGTTTGAATGCCTCCCGTCTGGCAAAGTTAACTTTAAAGCTTTCACCTCCTTTCACTTCTTATGGTTGTGTCTGGATGCCTGAAATATTTCTTCAGGAATTTGTCAATAAGAATATTTGTCTTTACACCATCGTTCGTTATCTTGGTTAGCATCTGGTTCCTGTTTACACTGTTAACTGTTTGGCTTTTTTGCACTTTTTACAGACAGCCAACATGCACAGGTGCAGAAGAGCATGAAACAGGGCTTTTTGCGTTTCACATTTTGAATTGAGCAGCAAATCATTTTGCGTATTTCCATTCTTTCCTCTGATGTTTAGCAAGGCGACTCCCTTCTTTTGTAACCTGCTGAGGTTTCTGGTTTCAGTCCAGTTTGGCTACTCTGTAAAGAAAACAGAGTCTGCGTTGTTTTATGTGAGCAGACGGGGAATCCTTCACCCCCAGGCCTTCCCTCTCTTCACCTCTCTCTCATTCTTCTGTTAACTGCACCGACTGGCTGAGCCACTGACAAACTGATATTTGCACCGGCGGAGGCGGGAAAAACAGAACAGGAAGCACTGTTGTTATCTGTGGACAAACATGGGGAAAGGCTGAAACGTGACGCCACTCCCGGCTTCTTTCTGTGCAGCTTCAGAGCCAAAAAGTCATGGAGTCGGAGCGGATCCCGCCGGGCTCGGCGTGCGGCCCCGGCGCTGAAGTGTTGACAGGTGGATCAGCAGGAAGCCACAACTACAGCTCCGTCTTGCAGGACGGTTTATCAGACATTCAGGCCTCGGTGGAGCAAAGCCACATTTTACAGGTGAGTTTTAACTGCTTCTAATGCAGCAGCTGAACAAAAATCTGTTCTAAACTAAGTCACAAATATTATCTCTCATGTTCATTTAATACATAATCTGGCAGTTTTGTTGCAAAATTAAACACTTTATGAAACAAGTTCAAGTCTCTGTTTCGAAATGAATGCATGTCAGAGTGACTGATGTTTGTGTATTCCCACGATGCTGCCGAACAGGAAGGATTTATGAGAGTCGTTTCCTCTGGAGTCTTTAGTATAATTACATAGATCAAGATAAAATATTTGGTATCAACATTCATAATGATTCTTGAAGTGTACATCACATAAACTTTGTGCTTCTTTTGCGAAAAACTTCCAACACAAATTACTTCCTAACTGACGTGGAAAACATTTTATAAATAAAAATCTCAAAAGTGTGGTGTGAATTTTTATTCATCTGCACTTACACTGCAAAAACACAAAATCTTACCAACTATTTTTGGTTTTGTTTCGAGTGCAAATATCTTTGTACACTTGAAAAGAGACAGACAGACTTAAAAGTAACGTTTCAACATTGTTTTAAGTAAATAATTCCTGAGGAGAAATATTGAGGAGAAAGCACTAGTTCTCACTTATAACATGAGAAAGTGTCTTTTTATAATCTGCTAATGAAAAATGAACTTTTTCAGCAATGTTAAGGAATTATTTACTTAAAACAAGTTCCTGTATTTAGCTAAAAAGTTACTTGTAAGTTAGTTTTGTCTCATTTCAAGTTTATTTTAAGATATTTGCAGTAGAAAGTCGACCAAGATATTTGGCAAGATTGTATATTTTTGCAGTGCACAGCTGCAGTTTTTGGTTTATGCTACGTTTAGTCAAATGAGATGGGAATCACATTTTTAAGTGATTTGTGGCGTAAACCTTGACTCAGTCATGCATTATTAGACTTTGAGTTGTTTCAGATGATTTATGAAACTTTATTCCATGAGAAGTTCAAGAGTTGCTTCATAAACTTTGCCATAATTTTATATTTGACCTGTCGGCTGTGTTTCTCGGTCTCCATTTATTCACTACTGTTGTCTAACAAACCTCTGAGGCATTCACACAACAACCGGGAATAAATTACACACAGTATTACAACATGCACTCTGTAATTATGTGGCTTCCAACGGCAAATTTCTTCACTGAGTTTTCTTTATGAGGCCTGGAGGTTGAATCCTAATGCAGACTTTTTGTTTTTTACTTTAAACTGTAAAATAAAATGTGAAAACCAGGAAAAATAGTTGAATTTTTTATGCTACTATTTTTGGGATTGTAACATAAAATCCAAACATAACACTTAAAAATTTCTAGCTGCATTTCTTTGTCATGAGATCATATTAACAGCACTACTTTCTCTGTTGACTTTGTTGCTCTAAGGTTATCAGAAGGTCTGAAAATGGATTTTATGTGCACTTTGAGGTTCATTTTTTCTTTTCTTCTTAGAAAATGCCCCATCTGGACCTGAGTTGGTCCCTGACGTCTTCGCCTGGTGATGCAGACATTCGATTAGCACGAACAGTTCAGCGGGTTCTTGCTTGCCGTTATCAGCCTGCAAGCCTCAACGTTACAGCTATGGCTAAACAGCAGGAGGAAGCGCAGGTATGAGAAGCACTTATTCCATCACATTTTACATTAGTTTCCTTTGTCAAAACATTTTTGTTTCCTGAAAGAAAAATGTTTAAGAACTAATTTTTCTCTAAATTGATGGGTTTAAATGACTCCACTTCACCCTTACTTGATGTCAAGTGATTAATGAGGTGATGAACAAAAAAATCACATAAGCGCAAATGTTATGAAAAATTCCTTAGAATTGATTTTGATTGCAAAAAAACCCAAAAACAATCATAAAATCCTGGATGGACCGACCAGCGTGAAAAGATGTTTAGTATTATTTAATTTTAAGGAGCACTTATTGAATGCTGGAACAAACGACTGTTAACATTTTAACAGCCGATATTAAAGAAAAATAAAACGGAGCAAAACTCTGTTTAGCCTTCCTGTTATCTGCTGAAAGTCTGGCTCTCTCTCACTATTATAAATCCGAGTCATAAAACTGAAAGTCGATGAAACTGAAAATCGTCAACAGCTGATTTCTTTGTGAATCTTTCTACGGTTTTGTGATTCTAGTCATCAGGGCTTACGGTCAATAAGCTGCACACAGCAACTATAATTTACTGGTTTTAATTTGTACTTGTGTGGAGAAAATTGTAAAAATAACAGTTTAGTTATTTGATGGGATTCATCAGTACATTCTGGCAGATCATTCTGATTTTTGATTTGGCCCAAAATGAAAGTGACACCCCTGATCTAATTCATTAAAATGTTTATGTCTGCAACATGTAATGTTGAAAAGCTGATGCTTTTCTTACTGAAGCACTTTTGTTTAAGCTTTTTCCAAACTGATCTTGAGCTTTTCTTCCCCTTTCATTGTGCTTCTTTTAGGAGTACAGGCGATGCGTGCAGGAGCAAGTGGCTTCCATTAAAAGCAACGTGACGACGGTTTCAGACCCAAAGGCCTCAGGAAGAGCGGAGGGAGACTGGAGCTCAGCCCTGCTGGACGCCTCGGCCACCGTTCAGGTCAAAGCAGCTCAGCTGGATCTGGTCAAGCAGTACCACCTGCAGAAGAACAACACCAGAGCTTTCCTGGAGGTTGTAGCAGCAGAGAAAGAAAAGATGAGCTTGTAAGCAACCTCTTATGCTCATGTTTCTTACACTTTAATTTGCAGTTATGCTGCAAAGTTGATGTATTTGTTGTCTGGAAAATGAGCCTTTTCAAAAACTTAAGTCACACTGCAACATTACTTGGCAACCCAAGTGGAGCTCCAGTATGTTTGTTCAGCTGGTTTTAATGCTGTACAATGGCTGCTGGAAAAAACAAGTGTTTTGTTGTTGACTTACTATTGAGAAAACACTTCCTGCATTTTTGTTGGTTGTGCAGGAGGCTCCACTTATGCTTCTCAAAGATGTAGGGTTGTATAATTGCACATCTGTATGAAGCCATTTTCATGTGTGTAAACGTTAATTGGGGTTGTGGCCAACAGCAGCTTGTTTGGATTTAAAGTGACAGATCGCTAAAAGAACTCATTCTGAAAGTAACTCAAATCGGCAGAACCTGAGCAGAATAAAATCTCAATTAGTGTAATGAGCATTTTATAAATTTTTTCAAGGGAGCCTAATAGGTCACCTTTAACTTATTTTATCATGTCTTTTATAATTCATGTGTTAATCTAGTATCATTCTGTGTTGGTCTTTACTTTTTTTAGAAGTGTTTTGGGAAGCAGTTCCCTTCAAGAGGAAAAACTGAACGCATTGCTGCAGACCATGGAGCGGAAGAAGTCAATGCTGGAAGATTTGCTCTGCCTGAGCAGCCAGCTGTCAGCCCACCTGAGTGATGCGGAGAGTTCAGGTGTCCTCGTTGCTCAGCTTGGTGACATTCAGGAGGAATGGAGGCTTCTTAAAGCAAGCATCAAAAGAGCGCATCTCCAGGCATCAAATTCTGCATCTCAGTTAAAACTCGTTTTAAAAGAAGCTGCTGAGCTTAAAGCCAAACTTGAAGTTCTTTTAAAATCTGAAACTGACAACATAAGTTGTTTAGACTTAACTTGTCTGAGCACAGAGCTGAAAATGTGCAACCAGCTTCTCCTGCATTTACAGTCCCAGGCCGGCGCCCTCATCTGCTTTTCTCTGGGTCAGAAAGAAAAAGCTGTGATTGAAGAAAAGATTCAGGACCTGAAATCTTTGCTCTGTGTCACTAAGCAGAAGCTCGACTCTTTGCCAGAAATTTGTGGAAGTGGATCCAAAAGTAAAATCAACAAGCAACTGCAGGACTTGATCAATTTGACAAAACAAGCAGAAAATCATGTCTTTACTGGGAAAGCGTTGTCCGTTTTTCCTGAGCAGGCTCGTCTTCAGATTGATGAAATGAGGAAATCTCACATGGAAACTTTATCCAGACGAAGCGAGATACAAATGCAGGTTGGAGAGCTAAAGAGTAAAGCTACTGAAATAGAAAATCAGGAGTTAATAAAGGCTGTAGAGCTGCATGAAACTGTTGCTGACAGGTTGGGTCGTGTTCTTGAAGACATGAAAAAAGGTCTTGTTGAAAGAGAGAAGGTTATGTGCGAGTTTGGTAGGTTGGATGTCTGGGTAGAAGAAACGTACATTAAAAGAGAAACCCGCATCAACGTTGCGAATGTTTCAAAAGCTGACCTCGGTAAATTGGAAATGGAGCTAAAAAGTCATCAATTAGCAGCAGTGGAGCTGGAGACCCAACTCAAATTAGTGGACGCACTTTCAGAAAGTTGCACAAAATTAGCCGTTGAGCTGAGTCCTGCAGAGAGCCGCTACCTCTGCAACAGGCTTTCAGGCCTTTGGGCAGAATTAGACGGACTGCTAGCTCATGAGAAAGCTACCTGCTGGGAGTTAGAGGAGCTAATTCATGAGAGAACATCTTCCAATGAGGCGTTAGCTACCATTCAGGCTAACTTGGATCAAACATCTGCTGATCTGGAGAAGCAGAAGTTCCCTTTGACCAAAGAGATGCTGTTAGTTATTACTCAGTTGGAGCACAAGCTAATGGAGCATCAGTGGGAAGTTCAAGAGCTGCAGCATTGCCAGGAGGACCAGAGAAACTCTGTGCTCTGCTCTATTGGTGAACTGCAAGACCAGTGCAAAGCTCTCAGAAAAAACACTGTGGAGCAAGAGAAATATGTTCACCTCAGAGGACAAATGGAGGAATCCATGGAAATCGCCAAAACTCAACTCCAGGAGGCTAAAAACCAATCGGTGAGCGCGGCCGAGAGGTTCAGGTTGAGTCAAACGCTGCTGGTCGAACTGGCGATGATCAACACCCTTTGCCAAGAGACGGCGGATCAGCTGGAGGCGATCGCCAGTGAGTTAGAGCCGTCCGAGCTTAACGCAGAGAAGAAGAGGCTTCATGACATGATGGAAAAGCTGATCTGCTGGGAGCAATCTGCCACCAATCACATCAAAAATCTGGAGGCCGAGCTTTTACCAGGTCTCCAGTTCAAGTTTGAGCTTCCGGCATTGATGGATCTGTTGCAGAGAGCTAACAGGCAACTGGAAGGAACCAAAGAAGTCAAACCAGATGAGAAAGCAACAGATGATGCAGTGATTCAGTGTTGGGTCATCAGGAGAAATGTAGAGTCTGGGATGAGAGTGTTGGAAGGTCTGGCACAGAGAGACAAGATTAGGCTGGAAAACTACAGTGAGCTGTATTCTCTCAGAGACGCAGTGATGCAACAGTCCCACTCATGGATGGTAAGGCAGTCAATACCTTAATGCTGCAGGCAAAACAAATATGTTTTTTACTTATAAAACTGTCACCGTGTCATGACAGATAATCTGTGAAAAGATCAATCTGCTCCACCTCTTTCCTATTGCCATCTGAAAAAATGCACCAAAAACCACCAATCAGAGCCAGAAGGTGGGTCTTAGCGCTGTCAATCAACATCATGTACTGTGGAGAATTGATCCATTCTCCATGCTAAGTTCTTGATTTATGAAGAAGAATCACTGAGTTAAATTTATAAATTCAATTTATTAATACCAAAGTACAGCTGGTCCATTTGTCTTACTACCTTTAGGAGTTAGCAGGACCAAATGGCATCAAACAAAAGTTTTCCATTCTCCTTGTTAGCCTCTATCTAAGCTACGCCTTAAAGAGGGCGTTCCCTAGTATGTCAGTGTTTAATAACATGTCATTTCCTTTAGCTTTAGCTTAGCAACTAGCTAAAAGAGATAGAAGAAAAACAGAATTATTTATTCTGAACAGTACTAACTGTTAAAGCTGCTAATGAAGGCGAAACAACCTACTGTTAATGGAAAACCGTTTATCTGCTAAGCTAACTAGCTTAAGTATTAACTGCACAAGATATGCTAGTTAGCAAAGTGATTGACAACACTAAACCCCGCCTCCAGGAGCTGATTGGTTGTTTCTAGTAAGCACCGGGAAAAGACAGAGGAGCTCAATCTTTTCACAGAAACGGTCACGACATAGTGACAGTTTAAACCAATATGGAAGACTGGAAGATTTGTTTTACGTTCTGAATGTGTCCAACAGGTCAGTCTGTCTCAGGCCAGGGAATCCCTTAAAGATTACCAGTGGGCTGCTCAGGAAGCAATAAACTTCCTCCATAATGCTGAGGCGACCTTCCTGTCCGCTCCCGGAGGTTTTTTGGATTGCACCCAGGAGCAGAGACAAACCCAACAGGCTTTGGAAGCTCTTGAAAACGGCTTTCAAGCTCATATAAGCCATCTGATGGAGCGAGTGCCGCAGGAAGGCTGTCTCTCACGTCCGGAGACCGAGCTCCTTCACATCAACGTCCTCAGCCAGTTGTTAGTTGGAAGAGCTGTGCTGGAAGCTCAGGCAAAACTCAGAGTGGAGCAGTTGCAGAGGTGCTACATGTCTAAATGTCTGAGATGTTTTTATACACAAGTTTTGTTTACGCTTCCTGTTCTTACAGGTGTGAAATAAGACAGAGAACCCATAGAAAGTGGCACGAAGACATCAAACAGGAAGTGTTGCATTTTGAAGCCAAGCTTTCAGAATGTGCATCAGAGAAAGTCACATCATTTGATGAGTGTATCGATCAGCAGAAGAGCGTGAAGGTAGGTCAGATCTGCTAGAACCTTGAAATAGACTCGCTTCAATTGGGAACCAAAACGGAAACGTTTGTTACATTTTCAGTTAGTGTGGTTCGCTTTCACACTGCACTGTCAAACCAACCAAAGCTTTCGAAAAAACCTGTTCTCCTCCTCACCTGCGGGGGTGCTGTACAGAGGGAAGACGTGAACGCAACTTTCTTCTTCGCAAAATGTAAACAAAAATGGAGTAGCGTCAGATTTTAGTCATAAGTCATTTTTTCTGTCAGGCTAAAATTGCAGGTTTGTTTTCGTTGTATTTACCCAGAATGCCCTACGCTACAGTTCGCTTCCTGATAGTTATCCCTCTATTTCAAGTCTTTTTAATTCTCATTTTGTACTTAATTTTACTATGCATTTCAATTTTGTGTCTGTTTTTATGTTAAATTATGTAACAGGACCTGGAGTGTCGAAAGGCACCTGAAAATAAAATGTATTATTATTATTAAGAGGTATTATTGTTTTTTGCTTTTATCTTTGGTAAGATGGTAATTATGGCAATTAGCTTTTGGTTAGTTGCCAATGTGTCGGGTGAAACCATCAACCCGACCCAGCGTTGGGTCGGTCCATATTTGACCCAGCTTCGGGTCACTAATTGGGTTATTTTTGACCCGGCGGTTTTTACTGTGCTCTTTGTGAAGGCTCTGAAGGAAGACCTTCGTAACCTCGCCGGGAAGATGGCTGACCTAAAAGCTGGATGTCCGACGCAGGGTTGTGGCGTCGGGAAGGACGGCGAGCACGGCGCCCTCTGGAGGCGCTGGACGTCATTACGACGACGTTTGGGCCTCCTGTTGGTTCTCACAGAACAGAAGGAAGAGGAATGGAAGGACGTCACGACAAGTGTGAGTGTTATTATTGACAAATACCTTCTGGCAGAAAGTAATGATAATTTATGCTTTATGGTAATTATTGACGTTGAATTCTACTTTCCTTAGATAGAGGAAAGTTGCAACTATTTGTCCGGTCTTCAGGATGAACTTCCAGGCTCTTCCACTATGAGTTTCTCTCAGGAAGAACCTCAGGAGCTTCTGGCCAAAATGGAGCAGCAGCAGCTGGCCTTATCTTCACTGAAGCATCGACTGGAGCACGCTTTGGGCTTATCCTCTTCCCAAGGCTGCGTCCTCCCTGGATCCGCTGGAAAATCCCTGGAGAATATCCAAGACAGCATCTGGAGGTGGGATTTCTTAAATCTGACTTTGTAAAATGATGGAACCAGCTGAAAGGTGAATGTTTTTAAACCATCATTGATCCCCACAGCTTGAAAGAGAGAAGCCTGCTTCTCATGGCTGCAGCGCAGGAAGAGGAGAAAGAGAGAAAAGAAGCTGAGGAAGAAATACGAGACGTTGAGAAAAAAGTGTTTGAGATTTTACCAGAACTGGAAACGAGTTCAAACCCAAGCAAAACGCAGGTAAGCCCATTTTCATGCTTCTTTGATACATGCACATATATCCATTATTGAAAGTTTGTGTTTTTCTGGAAGATAAGTGGAAATTTTGAACAATTCAAAACATTTTCTGAAAGATTATCTTGACCAGTTACATTTACTTGAGTAGAAAATTTACGTTTTACTTAAGTAACTTGAAGAGTCGCTGCTCTTACTTGATTGAATAAAATTTCTGTATTCTGCTTTATTTGAACCAAAAAGTCCTCAGACACAGTCCTGTAGTGTTTGGTTAAAGTTTCATACGCTTTATATTGAAGCGTATGAAACTTTTATTTTACGTAATTTTGGAATGATGTTTATATTTTGGTCTGTAAAATACCATAATTTACACACATTTTTGTATTTTGGTCTGTCTCATTGCATAATTTGTAAACATAAATAATCAATAAAGTTTTTACTGTTTTACTTGAGTAATATGGTTTTTTTTTTTTATTTTTCCTTGAATCCAGTTTTTGCCTTTGCTTGTGACATCCTGTCTCATCTTGTTTTCATGTTTTTCTGCACTGAAAGGAGCTGCAGGAAAACGTTATCTCTCTGAAAACCCAACTGAAACACATCCTGGACACCTGGGGGCGCCGACACGCAGAAATCCCGGCAGATATCCGAAAAAAGATCCAAAATGTGGAACAATCCGTCCAGAAAGCAGAAGAAATGGTGACATCAGTTAACTTCCATCTTTACCAACGCATGAAAAGAATTTTAATCATAACTGTTTCATTTTTTATTTATTTTATTCAACAGCTTTTGGAGACGGACAACCCGATCAGGAAGCTTTCACGCAGAGTCAGGGATCTGGGTTCTGGTCTGGAGAGAGTGAAATCTTTACTGGAGCAGAAAAGTCCGACAATCAGAGAAGCTCAGCGTGTCCTGAAGGTCTTCATTTTGTAATTTGTCTGCTTGATAATTTTATAAAACGTTTTTTCCACATTTTCAAATGACTTTCCCCACTTTTAATCAATGGATTTAACTTCCATGGTGTCTGGAACTAGTTTTAAAAAAATGTGCTACAGATTGTTGTGTTGTTCTCCAGTGTGTGTGGGACGAACTGGACGCCTGGCACAGCAGCCTGATGCTCCTGGAGAGCGAAGTGCAGGACGTCGCGGAGGACCAGCCGGATGAGGCCCAGCTCCTGGTGGACCAGCTCACAGAACCGCTGCAGCTCTACCAGAACGCATCCCGCCTGGCTGAGCACCGAACCGCCTTCCTCAACAAGGTTTCTTTCTTCTCTCATTGCTCACATGTCTAGCACATAAAAACATGCATGCTAATGTTTCTATCGTCCTCTCTGACCTTAGATTCCCGCCTGCCTGCAGGAGTTTGAAGACATTTCTCACCGAGCCGCTTGCTGGTTGGATGAGGCCCAATTATGGCTGGCACTGTGCAAATCAACCAACTCAGCCAATCATGTCATATTCAGGTCAGAGGTCTCTCTCTGGTCTACACATGTCAGCCTTTTTTGACCCGTACAATAAATGTTTCAATTCAGGACAGACAATTTAAACGGCATCAATTATACAAAATTTACTTTTTTCTGTGTTTTTATACGTCCATTTGACGTTTTACTGCTTCTGAAAACAACTGAAGTGTTTAAAAATAAAGACCATGATGTTTTTTTGGTGTCTGGAAAATTAGCAAAAATTGTTAAGTCACATTCGACAGCCACTGCGCTGTTACCTAGCAACCCCAGCCGAGTTCCAGCACATTTCATCTGTTTGTTTGTACAATGGCTGCTGGAACAGACAAGTGTTTTGTTGTGGCCTTACCATCCAGAAACCACTTGCTGCATTCTTGTTGGTCGTGCAGGAGACTCCACTTTTGCTTTTCAAAGATGTAGCGTTGCATAATTGCACATCTGTTTGCAATCATTTTCACATGCGAGTGTAAACGCTGTGTTGGGGGCGTGGCCTGCAGCAGCTTATTTGAACTTGAAGTGACAGAGACCAAAAACAGCTCGAAATAGGCAGAACTGAGTAGATTAAAATCTCAAACTCTAGGAATTTGATTTGACTTTTTGCAGTAAATGTAAAAAATATGTTTAGTACAAACCATAAAGCTATCCCAAAAAATCTGAACTTTAAATCGCTTTGCTCATTTTACCCCAACCGTTCACTAACTGGTTGTGATATTTTTTAAAATTTCTGGAACAGTTGATTCTGGAAGACTCTGACAGGATCAGACACACCCTGCAGGTGTTTAGGTCGGGCCTGGCGGAGATCTCTGCCGTGTGCGACGTCAGCGCTCAGGAAGAGAGGCTGGACCAAAGAGACCAGCAGGTTCTGGAAATGCAGCAGACCATCGTCGAGCCACTCGACCATCTCCAGCAGGCCGCTGCGGTAAAACCCCAAAATAAGAGCCCTTTTTTATGCTAATGCTAGCACCCAACTGACATACTTCTAAATTGAAATTGCAGATAGTGGAGGTGGTTGAAGCTGACATTAGGGCGATGGAGAAAAACGTCTCAAAATTCAGGGACATTTTACACTCGATGGATGATGCAGACGTAACTCAGGCTGAACGTCTTCACAGCTGTGAGGTAAAACACTGACAGTTAAAGAACTTCTTTAACTGATGCATTTTCTGGCGAATATGGACGTTTTAACTCTCGTTTAAACTATGTTTTGCTCCTGAAGGAGATCCAGACCCAGATTCAGTCGATGCAGAAGAGCTTGGAAGACATGGAGAGCTGGAAAGAGGAGGTCCATCTCCCTGAAGGAGCAGAAAACCTGGTGATCTTCTCCAAAGCCAGAACGCTGCTCCAACAGCTGGATGGGCTGGAACAAATCAGCAGAGAGAAAAGCTGTTTGCTGGAGGTACGGCGCGTTTTAAGGCTTATTATGTCAAAATGCTGTCATTTAAACCTTATGCAAGTTCAAAGGTTAAAACATTCAAAAGTGTTACTGTTTTAAACAAGGTGAAGGATCATTATGATTGTTCTGTATGTGATAATAAATTATAAATACATGTAATTATAAAATACATGTAAATTTTATTTCATTTTTATTTTTTTCACATCACACAAACCCAATTTTTATAGCTAAGTTTATTTAAACTTAATGAATTGATAAAGGACAATATTTAAAGTAGATTAGTAAGAAGAGAAAACAAATACAACTTAATAAGTTGTTCTTTGTGTATTTAAATTATTTTGTTATAGTCTTCTGAGTTCAATAACTTTTACATCCTCTTCATATAAATATGGGGCAGATATTACAAGTTTATGCTTCTTTCTGTTCTATTTTAGTTCCTTTAAACTAGTGATACTTATTTATGTTTTGTATTTGAAATATGCCTAATCTTTGATTGTTTGTTTTTGTTGATGACAAGAATGATGTAAAGCAGAAATCTGTGTTTTTATACGTCCATGTTCTTCAAACAACACAACAAGTATAATTGAAACAGGCGTGATAATTTAGTTTTCTTTGCTGTTCTTGACTGACAGAACAAAAAGGAAGAAGAAGAAACTACCGAGAATCTTAATATTATGTCAGATTCATCTGAAGAGATGGAGAACCCTGCACACAGACGCTTTTTCCAGGTAACAATAATAACAATGTTAGGTAAAGAAAAACTTTTGGTCATCTGAGAGTTTTGGTTGCCATACTCTGAAGAGCTTGCAGCATTTAACCACTTTAAAGTTATATGTTTGAGCTTTTCACGCTTTGTTACGTCTGTTTTCTGGATTTATCTGAAAGTCCTCATAAGAAGGTTACACTAAAAATATAAAGTTAAAAGGGAAGTTCATCATCTCACTGAATCTTAGCTCAGCAGCTGTGAAAAGCTTCATTAATAGATGACCCAACTTTCCATTTATAAAAGGACTTTATAATTACTTCACTTTTCAATCCAAGTTTTGGTCACTGGCAAAAAGTGATCAGCCTAAGCTGAATAATCAATTTAACCCGACAGGTTTCCTACGACATTATATGAGTTACAAGTGTGTATTGAATGCTACGGGTCACATGTGCCAAATTATTTAATAGATTACAGATATTGTAATCTACAAATAATCCATGTATAAATGAGTGCAGAGAAAATGTGATTAATTTAGCTTAAAATATTAGATAAAAAATATGATTTTATTTATCATTTATTTTATAAATATATACATAAATATATTAATACTTTCTAAACTGATGTAATTTTTCATGTTGTGCTGTAGATTTGAGTAAAATCATTCCGTCATTCACCGTCGTATCAGTGATTATTGCTCCATTTTGATTCAACTCACACGTTTGGTGATGTGTTGATTCTCATCCCTGCAATCAGGAGGCTTTTGAGGTGTATGTTATAGAGGAAGAGGAGGATGAAGGAGATGAGAGTTGTGACTCTTCCTCCTCTGACACACTAACATGCAGTATTCCAGAGGTAAATCTTTGAAATGATCCAAACCTGAGCGCAACTCTACGCAAGAGGGCGAGGGCCACTGGAAAAAATAATAAAACACTTCTGACTTTAATCTCAGAAGTAAGAATTCTGACTTTAATCTCAGAATTCTGTCTTTAATCTCAGAAGTAAGAATTCTGTCTTTAATCTCAGAATTCTGTCTTTAATCTCAGAATTCTGACTTTAATCTCAGAAGTAAGAATTCTGTCTTTAATCTCAGAATTCTGACTTTAATCTCAGAATTCTGACTTTAATCTCAGAATTCTGTCTTTAATCTCAGAATTCTGTCTTTAATCTCAGAATTCTGACTTTAATCTCAGAATTCTGACTATAACACAGAATTCTGTCTTTAATCTCAGAAGTAAGAATTCTGTCTTTAATCTCAGAATTCTGACTTTAATCTCAGAATTCTGACTTTAATCTCAGAATTTCTGTCTTTACCCAGCCAGCACACCTAGGTGGGCCCCATATGGGATATAAGTGGGCAGGCAATATGGGTCCCAAAAGGGTTTGTCCACGGTTTCCATGGTGGCCCCACATGGGTTTGCCCAAGTAGATTTTAATGGGTGCTAACTGGGTTTTCAGTGGGTCCCACATGGTTAACTTACATGAGGCTCATCTGTGGCCCACTAGGGTGCTGTCAGGAATATTTACCTGGGTCCCAATTGGGTCTGAACTGGGCTAGAATATGGGTACCAAGTGGGTTTGTCCACGGTTTCCATGGTGGCCCCACATGGGTTTGCCCAAGTAGATTTTAATGGGTGCTAAACTGGGTTTTCAGTGGGTCCCACATGGTTAACTTACATGAGGCTCATCTGTGGCCCACTAGGGTGCTGTCAGGAATATTTACCTGGGTCCCAATTGGGTCTGAAACTGGGCTAGAATATGGGTACCAAGTGGGTTTGTCCACGGTTTCCATGGTGGCCCCACATGGGTTTGCCCAAGTAAATTTTTATGGGTGCTAACTGGGTTTTCAGTGGGTCCCACATGGTTAACTTACATGAGGCTCATCTGTGGCCCACTAGGGTGCTGTCAGGAATATTTACCTGGGTCCCAATTGGGTCTGAACTGGGCTAGAATATGGGTACCAAGTGGGTTTGTCCACGGTTTCCATGGTGGCCCCACATGGGTTTGCCCAAGTAGATTTTAATGGGTGCTAACTGGGTTTTCAGTGGGTCCCACATGGTTAACTTACATGAGGCTCATCTGTGGCCCACTAGGGTGCTGTCAGGAATATTTACCTGGGTCCCAATTGGGTCTGAACTGGGCTAGAATATGGGTAACAAGTGGGTTTGTCCACGGTTTCCATGGTGGCCCCACATGGGTTTGCCCAAGTAGATTTTAATGGGTGCTGACTGGGTTTTCAGTGGGGCCCATGTGGTTAACTCACATGAGGCCCATCTGTGGCCCACTAGGGTGCTGTCAAGAATATTTACATGGGTCCCTATTGGGTCTGAACTGGGCTAGAATATGGGTACCAAGTGGGTTTGTCCACGGTTTCCATGGTGGCCCACATGGGTTTGCCCAAGTAGATTTTAATGGGTGCTGACTGGGTTTTCAGTGGGTCCCACATGGTTAACTTACATGAGGCTCATCTGTGGCCCACTAGGGTGCTGTCAGGAATATTTACCTGGGTCCCAATTGGGTCTGAACTGGGCTAGAATATGGGTAACAAGTGGGTTTGTCCACGGTTTCCATGGTGGCCCCACATGGTTTGCCCAGGTTGATTTCAATGGGTGCTGACTGGGTTTTCAGTGGGACCCAGATGCCTTAATCCTGTAGGAACAATTCTCATCTAACCTGGATGTGAATTACATTCATAGATATGCAATCTTGATCAACAATCCAAAGTCTAGCTTAAAACGTGTTCAAATAAAAAATAAAAAAAAAGAGATGAAAAATTTATTTTGCTCAAGGCTTTTATTTAGTAATTTAAAATATTGTCAGGAGTTATTTTTTACCTCACTACAGCAATTATTAGAACTTCATTAATACTCAGGGAATGGTGCCACAAAAAGAAATCTGCAATTATTCACGACATCTTTGAAAATAACAGAAGCTAGTTTACTATAACAAACTTATAAACAGATCTATAAATATATATCTATAGATGCACACAAATAAAGACACCTACATATTTTCCTACAGGTCTATAAATGTATACATCTAAATACTATCTATATAACTTTATACACGTATATTCACATTGATACACACAATGTGAATATACACACCTATATAGATCTTTCACAATACATTTTTGTTAAACATTTTTAAAAATAACCTACATGCCATATGCATGCTTAAATTTGAAATCTCTCATACTTTACTGAAACTGTCCATCTTGAAAGACCTCCCCAACCTGAGTTTGAACTGGCAGTCTCTCTAGTCTATTTCCACTTCCACTAGGGCTCCAGTAAACCACTTCGAGAGTCTTTGCTGTATGCTTGTGTGATTCTGTAGATGGATAATTTCTTTTAAGTCCCCTGAAATAACAAGCAAAGGTAGAAATTGTATTAGTGTTTCATTTTAGCACAATGTAACATTCATGAGATTTGCATCTCCCCCTTCATGGGGCAAAAATGCTTGCAGAGATATGCCATAATCAAAAGGACTCTTGAGTCATCATTATTATGTACAGAAACTATATTCTTACTGTAAATTTAAAATATATCCATCTATATAAATCAACTACTAGGTTCTATCGTGGTTTTGTGGTTATTTTAATATTGTTTGAAATGCAAACAATATTACCTTCAAATTTTTAAGTTCTTAACAACAGTGAAAGAATACTGTTCAAATAAAACCAAAAATTGAAGACTCAATTTTTAACCTAAAAACATTACTAAAAATAACAAACAAAAGCATAAAACAACCAAAATAAATTAACATATGTTTAAGAAAGAAAAGTGAAAAAAAAAAAGTTACTCTGACAATAAAAACTGATATTACCATGCAAAACATCAAAGAGACGCAGGTCCAAGAGCTTGTTTCCAATTGGCCAAAAAGGTTGAACTGGACTTCCAGTTCATGGGACATGAGGAATCGCACAGCTGGTTGTATTGTGTCATCTAAGGACGCTCCTCCAATTTCTGTAGCCATGGCAACCTTAAGTACAATGACAATAACAGGACAACATTTTGTTTTGTTCATCAGTTTGTTATTATATCACTCTTATGTGCTTAATTTTACTAACATATTAATCTACCTTTTTCAAATCATTATAAAGTGATCTTCACACGCTGATCCTCTTGAAGCCTGCAAAAATATATATTTTATTAGTGCAATATAACATTTAGACTTTTCAAAAAAATAAAAAAATTAAGGCAAAACAGCCTTTGTATAGATTAACTACTGAAGCCTTATATTGTAAACACTGAACAGTTTTGCAATTATCCTAATTTCTTTGTTAACGTGACAGGACTAAGACAGTAGTATTACTCTTAAGAGAAGTTTAGAAAATCACTATAAATGTAACTAATAAAGCCTAAAACATTGTACATATAAAAAAATTAGAGCTACAATTAAATATAAGTACATTTCACATAACTGCTAGCTAAATATTGCAAAAATATCAAAAAGAATTTCTTCATCTTTCAATATTTGTTTCAGGCTTGGCCACTGATTGACATGATGGGTTTCAATTTACGGACCCACATGCAGTAACCACACGTTGGATAGGGATGAGTGAGTGATTTATTTACAACAGGACAAAATAAAATCTATTTCCCGGACATCAGCGGAAGGGTGAGGACCACTCGACCAGGTTGGCCTGAAACGAGAACTTAGTTATGACGGGCTTAGAATGAGTGATCGGAGGGGAAACAGGAACAGGCTTACTTCGGTGCGGGTCTTTCGAGGCGTGGGTGTGAGATGCCAGGTTCCTGAGAGAGGGTGTGCAGCGGTTCCGAAGGTAAATGCGAGGTGGGAATGGAAGAGAGCTGGAAGCTCGAAGGGTGGAGTGGAGGCAGTGGAATAGGCGGAGCGAGCAGGCAGGTATTCACTGGTGAGTTCTCGAATGAGGCGACAAAACCCCTAGGATCGAACAAACACAGAGACCAGGTGACTTCTAGTAGACACAGAAACGTTCTCAGAAAACTGTTCACAACAGGAGAGGCCAGAGTGACTACCGGTGTATGCAACCATCTAGCATACACCAGTAGAATCTTCAGTCAATCTAGCGTAGACTGAAGATTCTGCTGCTCCTCTACCTGTGCCAAGCTCCACGGGCTCCTCACAAAGATCCTCGCTGAAATAAGATGCGACACTCACATACACACACAGGAACCCTGACACTGATGACTACTCTAGACCAACACAATAGCGGCAGATTGAAATAAACTATGACATAACAAAACGCTTTAAAGTGTCACACAACAATTAAAAAAATAATTTAAAAATATGAACTACAATGCCTTCATCCTATTTACAAAAAACCTTTTAGGCCCAATATACTGAAACCACATGGGCCCCATATAGTGTTCCCATTTCTGTCCCATGCCCAGTTAGCCCACGTTAATGCTGAATTGGGCCCATACATTTAACCCAATTGAGCCAACAATATGAGTCCCATTTCGGTTAACCTTTTGAGCCTCACGCAGTTGGCCCAGATAAAACCCATGCCCTCTTATCATTACCTATATAGCCCAAAGCTAAACGATTCAATGCAGTTTTATTGAAAAAAACGACAATAATAATCTTGCATGGGTCCCAGCCAAACCAGCCTGAATCCATACATGACCCACCCATGCATGCTGATGTGACTGTGAGAAAGATTATTAAAAGCCCAAGTACATAGAATGAAGCACAATAGTTACTCTTTTTAAATCATACAAATGGTTTTATTGTGTCCAGACACTTTGTAACAACCTCTGCTAGCAACATAGATTCTTCAGTGAACCGATTTCATTCTGCCTCGTTGGCGCTCAAATGAACCAATGGCAGCTCAACAAATAGAATGGCGGCGGTATTTGAAAATGGTT